GTGCCGTGTACCAACAACATGTCGTATATGTAAAAGGAAGCATCATACGCTTCTTCATGGCAAAGCTAGTTCATATACTGTCGCAGTCGCTAGGGAAGCAACTGAAACTAATGAAGTAGATGAAATACACCCGGAATCGTCTTTTGAGACGAATGAGATCACCAACAATATTGTTAACAATTTTGTGACAGACCAATTACATAGCCAAGCGTTATTGGCCACAACTTTAATAAAGGTTGAATCCAAAGATGGTAATCATAAGATATTGAGAGCCCTGCTTGACCAAGAATCGCAAGTATCTTTCATATCCGAAGCTGCTGTGCAACTTTTACGACTCGATAAAATTAATGCTAGAAGTTGCATATCAGGTATGTGTGAAGGTCGAAGCGGCTTAATTTCGAAGTATGTGGTTAGAGTAAACATGCTGTCGCTTAGTGACCCTTCATTTAAAATGAAGGTAGATGCTCACGTTTTAAATAAGGTGACTTCGGTCTTGTCAGAAAATAAATTTTCCTTACCGTATTGGAAATATTTAAGGCGGATCACTCTGGTAGATCCACAATACAATTCACTTAATAGGATAGACATCTTATTAGGCATAGAGGTTTATACAAGATCCTGAAAAGGGGGTTAATAAAACACCCCTCTGGTTGTACGATTGCGCAGTATACTCACCTCGGATGGGTATTGTCGGGTCAAGTAAGCAGTAATAATACATGAATTGGATGTCACAATTTAATTTAAAATATGCATGCAAAGGTAGATGAAGAAAACGAACTACTTAAACGGTTTTGGATGCTAGAATCAGAGCCTAATTTAGAACACAGGAAAACATTGAATCCTGAAGAGCAACAAAGTGAGGAACATTTTGCTACTGCAACAAGTAGAGACCCAGTATGGCCGCAACATTGTAGAGTTACCATTCCGTCCCAATTTTGGTATTTAAGATAGATATGGAGATACAAGGAAAATTACAGTTAAAAGATTGTTAAGTTTAGAGACCAGATTATCGAAATGCCCAGAATAAGGAAAGGATTATGCAGAAATACTGAAGGAATACGTGACGCTTGGTCATATGGGAGAAATAGGAATAGATTTGACACAGTCAGGGGAAAAAGTATGATTGTCACACCACGCTGTGATTAAATTTAATAGAAGAACAATACAAACTAGAGTTGTGTTTAATGCATCAGACCGTAGCGCCAATGGTGTGTCTCTAAATGATACGCTTATGGTCGGACCAACTTTGGAACCAAAACTGCGTCATATCATTATGCGATGGCGGTTATACCCGATATATCTCACTGCCGACATTGTTAAAAGGTATCGACAAGTTAAATTGGCTACGAAACACGTTGACTATCAAAGAATAGTTTGGCACGACATTCCCACTTCAAAAATAAAAGATTATAGACTTTTGAGAGTAACTTTTGGTCTGTCTTGCGCACCGTACTTAGCGGTCAAAGCTTTGCAACAAGTAGCTATAAATGAAGGACATAATTATCCATTAGCTGCAGCTAGAGTCATAACAGACTTTTACGTCGATGATCTCATGACAGGTTGTCAGTATGAAACAGAAGTAATTATAGTGTATGAGCAGATAAATTCATTAATGGATAAAGGTGGTTTCAAGTTACAGAAATGGTCTAGTAATAAGGAGGAGTTGTTTAGATCATTAAAGGAAGATGAAGGAATGGGCAATGGTAAGGAAGTTAAGGAAGATGATATAACCAAAATATTTGGACTTGCATGGAATCGTCGAAGTGATGAGTTTTATTACATAGTACGGCTCTCTTCTGAATCCTCCTTACCTGACACTATAAAAATCATTGTTGAAATCTTCCGCTTATATGACCCTCTTGGGTTAATATCACCATGTATTATTACTGCAAAGGTGTTTATTCTGAAACTGTGGCTAACCGGACTGGACTGGGATGAGAAATTATTAAATGAGCTATTGTGTGAATGGGAGACTTATCGAAATGAGTTGCGTGAAGTAGTCAGGTTTCATATACATGAATTACATAGATTTAGCGATGCATCTAGTGTAGCATTTTCTCCCGTTGTGTATATTAGATGCCTTACTACAGATGGTAGAATTGATTATCATTTGATGACCGCTAAAACCAAAGTAGCTCCTATAAAACTGGTATCCATTCCTCGACTTGAATTGTGTGGAGCTGTATTGGTAGCTAAGCTTCTCGTCAAAGTGGCTGGTGCCCTTAATATAAATAAGTTACATATACAAGCCTGCACTAACTCGACGATAGTTTCGGCTTGGGTGAGCGATTATCCAAGCTGATGGAAACCTTTTGTGGCCAATCGGACTTCAGAAATACTCACACTTTTAGATTAATTCAATAGTCATATGTTAATTCAAGGTGCAAAACTGTCGACTGCGCCTCACAACGAGTAAAACTGGCAGAGTTTATAGTTGACAAGTTGTGGAAGCACGGTCCAAGCTGGTTGCTTAATAAAACAATAGAGTACGCGAAACCAACTTTCATATATACTAAATTGGAAACGAAAACCATAAATACACACGTTACTTCCGTTACCAATGAAAATTATGATAATTTATTCATTAAATTATCATCATTACGGAAGCTAGTGAGGGTTGTAGCGTTTTGTCGTAGATTTTTTCGATTAGAATAGAATAGAATAGAATAGAATGATTTTTATTCAATATGGATTATTACATAATACTTATTGAAAGTCATTATTTTATTTACCACTGGTTCGGAAAATACCTCTGTCCTGGGAAGAACCAGCAAGAAACCCAGCGGGACTTTTTTTTTTAAACATAATTTCACTTAACAATAATTTTGATTATACAATTTTAAATGAATTTTCATAGAACCAGCATGGTGGCGATCACCTTATTCCCAGGGGTTATTTTCACTCATGTATTCCTTGATATTATAATAACCCTTTTTGTACAGTTTTTCTTTAATAAAACTTTTAAACTTGTTTATTGACAAACTTTGAACATGTTCTGGGATTCTGTTGTAAAAGCGTATACATTGCCCCATAAATGAATTACTAATTCTGTGGAGTCTTGTAAGTGGCATTACAAGCTTATGTTTGTTCCTAGTGTTTAAGGTATGAACATCCTTATTCTTATTAAAGCTATTTATGTTTTTATGTACATACATTACATTTTCATAAATATATTGCGATGCCAAAGTTAATATGTTTATTTCTTTAAATTTTTCTCTAAGGGACTCTTTACAATTTAGATTATAAATCGCCCGTACGGCTCTCTTTTGCAAAACAAATATAGCTTCAATATCAGTCGCATTACCCCATAGCAAAATTCCATAAGACATTACGCTATGAAAGTAACTAAAATACACTAACCTAGCTGTCTCAACATCTGTGAGACTTCTAATCTTTCTTACAGCATATGCTGCAGAACTAAGTCTGCTTGCTAATTTAGATATATGGGGGCCCCATTGAAGTTTCGCGTCAATAGTAATACCGAGAAAAACAGTGGTATCCACAAGACTCAACTCCTCCCCATTTAAGAGCTAAGAGCAGATTGAGGGATATATCGCACGAATGGGTCGGTTCGACCGGGGAAGGACCACGCTCTCACAGAATACCAGCGTAGAATACAGCTTAGCACTGCTGTATTTCGTGTGGTGAGTGTAGAGAACCGGAGACGCTTTTTACTGGAAATGAGGCATTCCATCTTAGTCCTCACGGCTGACAACGCATCTGCATTTTCATTCTTTATTGCGGAACATCAGGTGGACTGTATTCACGTTTGTCACCCTATCCTATAAAAAAAAAAGATAATCATAGACCATACATTTTATAAAATTTTCGTTTAAAAATAAAACCTCCTCGCATTGTATTCTGTCTGTTCGTAAAGTTTCATCACAGTCGGTTCAGCCATTCCGAAAATTAGCCCGGACAGGCAGACAGACAAACTTAATTGCGCGTAAATAGCTCCCTGAGCGTTATAGAAGCCAGTTATTAGAATATTACAGACACAATTAAATTTTATTTACATGTATAGTTGAAAGAGAAATACAGCTTGCTTAATATACAAACTCAAAATATAAGTGGAATTTTGACCCCTGGGCGCCCATTATTAAATCTAAACATCGTTTTAACTAAGCACTAAGCACTAAGCTCAAAGTTGATGACGAGTATTTTTTTTAGTTTACCTGGGACAAATAGTCCGACTAGGTAAGTCCAATTTCGACCGAGAGGTCAATCGACGGATTCAACTCGGCTGGGCAGTGTTCGGTAAACCACGACACATCTTCTCGTTAGACATACCTCAAAACCTGAAAAAGAAATTGTACAACCAGTGCGTGTTGCCAGTGATGACTTACGGATCTGAGACGTGGTCCTTCACTGCTGGCTGTATGAGGAAGCTCAAGGTCGCTAGCTCAAGAGTACATGATTGATAATAACTTCAGGGAATGAGGCGGTTCCTACCATGATGTTTCTAAATGTTTTATATTTAACTATCTGGTACCATTCATGGAAAATGAAGCAACTTTGGAATCGTTTAATAAATTTATCAAAATAATTGTAAATAGTTTCAATCACTTTAACAAAACAAATAATGACAGTAGTAGATGATATTTGTAAGTTGTAAATAAAAAAAAAGTGTTAGTTTTAATAATATGTTGCATTTAGTTTTCAGGTCATTAGTAAAATGTTAGAATTACAAAAGTTATAAACAGAGACGCAAAGGATTATTATTTGTTTTAGTTTTGTGTGTGTATTAGTTATAATTTTTTAATCTATGTCTCATAGGGGTAATATTTGCAATATTTGCTACGCTTGGTAGGTGGGCCTGGCAACTGTAGCTTTTTTATTATTTTGAGTCGTTATCAGCAAGATGCTCCTGCCCAACTTCTGTTTCACTACCCTCTGTCGCCTCTTACGACTCCCACAGGATGATATAGGGTGGTGGATACTCTGACGCCGCCATTACACTCATGTCGTGGGTGTATAATATTTATTTTTCTTCCTTGCAGGTGACTGACCTCTTCACACAGATGCGGGAGCCTTCCCCAGGGGCTCCAAGCCCAAGAGGGTCTACAGGGTCTCTGAACAATGGTGCGGTCACACGGAACTTCGGCTTCCAACAGCAGAACGGCTCTGAACACCTGCCCTGGAGTAGCCCCGCGATCTCTTTGCCCGGGAATTGTAATTCTAACTTGTAAGTAATGAATGCTCCAATTTAATTGTGCTTTGTGCAGGGCTCGGAAACGTTATTGAAAATAACGTTTTTAAAACGTTTGGAACGGCTCCTTGTATAACATTTTGTTCGGAACAAAAACGAAATGAGAACGTAATTTGAAAACGTAAAAAACGGTTTATTCCACAGGAAGCTAAATGAATGGCGCGTGCCACGTGTAAGACAAGACAAAACCTATCAGGTATTTTTGTTTTGTATTACCAAAAATGGGAAAAAGCTGTTTAAAATGGATAAAAACGTTTTATTGAACAAGAACGATTTAAAATTTCGTTATCTTCATAAACGTTTTTATTATGATTCCTTTCGAACACAAACGAAACAAATAAGTTTTTAGGTATTTAAGGCGAAAACGTTTCGAAAAATATACCGCTATCCGAACCCTGGTTTTGTGTGCCTCGTCCCTTTTCAAAAAAAAAATATTAATAATTATTTCGAAGCTGATTTACCGAATAATAGCGATTTAAGAATATGCACTACTACACATCATCCCGTGGGTGTCGTAACAGGTGGCAGAGAGGGAAAAAATCAGGAGATGGACAGCAGCGTCTTCCTAACTACTCGAAATAATAAAAAACTGCTTAACTATGGCAAACCCCCATGAGGCAATCCATGAGGAAGGCATATCTTGAGCAGTGAACTTTTATATACTGTAAATGGATGAATGGATGGAACTTCATTTTAAGACTGTATCTAAATAATATTAGAATTTAAAAAAAAAGATGTCGATCGCGTAACAAACAAAGAAAATTATTCGAATTGAGAACTGCTACATTTTGAAGTCTGCTAAAAATACATCAAAATACGGTCATGAATGTGTTTTGTGTGAAGATATTGTGATCCTTCACTAACTTAAAATATTTTTTTTTTATTTTTTTTTTATTTTATGCTGTTAGTCAACTTATACAGTTACCGTTGCCGTCACAGCCTATTAAAGTCCAAACATAGGCCTCCTCCATAGATTGCTTAATAGGGGGAATGAGCTGCGTATCCTGAAACTATACATCTATAACAAATAAATAAAATTGAAGTGTCTATTTGTAATGTCAAAATAACAGCTTTTTACTAAATGTACCTACATGTAAGTTTTCAATTGTGGTAGAGTCACTCGGCAGCTTTTGCTGTCGCACGGATGGGTCGACTATAACCGGGGTGGTACCACGACCCCATAGAATACCAGCGAAGTTTACTCCTGCATTTCGCCTGGTGAGTGCAGGTGGTCGGAGGACAAATCCCCCCCCCCACCCCCCCCCCATAAACATGGTAGCGGAATTCCGCTCAAGGCGAAACCTGCTTGGGGCAAGCGAAGCAATAAGACAAAGGCAACCCCTGCCACGCTTTCCGTGAATTTCTCCAACATCAGGGGACTTCATTCAAACCTTAACGCCGTCCACTACCATCTAGGGACGGTAAAGCCGGCCTTGCTCTTTCTAACCGAGACTCAACTTATAAAAGTCCACTGCTGAACATCCTCGTCCTTCCTCATAGATTGCCTCACGGGGGCCATTTTGCCATAGTTGCCACGCTTGACAAGCAGGTTGGCAACCGCAGTTTTTTATAATTTTTAGTTGTTACCAGGAAGATGCTACTGGCCATCCCCTGTTTTATTTTCTCTCTGCCGCCTCTTACGATACCTTCGGGACGATAAAAGAAAAAAAAAAGTAAATTTTGTTATATTATGTAACTCTGGTATACAACTGGCGTTATTTCAAGAAAAGGGAATTCGCTCCAAAGTGCTTAGCCAAGAAATTAAAGGTCAAGGAAGCGACTTCCAATTTGGTTGACACGTCTAATTAACAATCTCCATTGTTGGTAGAGAGGTCGACCTTGTACATTGGATTACGTGACCTTTGTGTATGATGCTCGCTGTAAACGTTTATCCTGTATCCAAACTAGATCCGTAATTAAAGAATTGACTTTTGTGGAAATTTAAACGTAATGTAGAATATTAAGTATTAAACTTTTAAAATACTGTCACTAAAAATAAAATAAAACGATAAAAACATCCGGGCACAAGGATTTAGGGCACAAAACATTTGCCTCATTTGTCTTTCCTTTAATTATAATAAAAATGTAGTTCTTTTGCGTCTCTTATAAATAATATTACTGTGGTAAATGAGCTTACAGCCCACCTAATATTAAGCGGGTATCACACTGCTGTGTTTCGTATGGTGAGTGTAGAGAACCGGAGACCCTTTTTACTGGAAATGAGGCAAGCCATCTTAGTTCTTACGGATGAGAACACCTCTGCATTTTGTTTGATATAGATGTCTATGGGGCGGAGCAACCACTTACCATCACGTGGACTGTGTGCTCGTTTGTCACCCTTATCATATAAAAAAAAGTCTATGGAACCAACTTCACAGAAAAATAACGACCGATTCTTTTGTTACCTCTGAGAATTAATGTAAAATTCCTCAAAGAATGTAGCAAGGTACTTGACAGAAACAGAATCCTACTAGACACAATAATCCCGTATACAAAATGCATGGACAAAACTTATTTTAACTTTATAAGCCAGTGCTAGATTTACTAACCCATCTGGTGGTAAGTGGTGATGCAACTGAACAGCACACTAACTTAGCTTAAAACGAGAACATATTCCCTCTTGTCTGACATGGATGCTGGCAAATTATCCCAATCCTTTGCTTTAAGCACTATGAACGACGAAGCAAACCATTTGGATCAAATGCGTGGTATGTCCACAATCTCGTGGATGGAACAGAGAGGGATGAGTTGTCATGCAATTTCAGCGCACACTCTCCAAATAAATACGTCGTTTTTATTCAAGTGTACACAAATTTTGACTTTCCTTATTGTTACAACTAGTTCAAAGTCGCGGTAAGTTGGCCGGTGTCCAAAACAGAGTCGCGTCGTTTAGAGACATGTACACAAATTGCTAGATATAAGGAAGTCCATAGAATCCAAGACCGTCGACGAAAATAGCTTTAACCGGAGCGGAAAAAAGAAGTCTATAAATGCCAGTAGTGTTTTTTTCCCCCGAGATAAATAAAGGTGAATTTGTAACACCTGTGTTGATTTAGCTTTTTTTAATTTTTATTTATGTTGAACTAATTTTAATCTTCGACCGGGAAGATAGGTCGACGGAAACAACTCGGCTGGCTAGGGTTTGGGAGATTATAAAACATTTTCTGGTTACACCTGCACGCACTCTTATACTCCTTAAATTTTGAGAACAAGCGAGGACAACTAGTACCTGGTGTCAGTGATGACATATAGATCTAAGACGTGATTTTTTACCGCAGCCGTATAAGAAAGCTCAAGGTCGTTAAATGAACTATGGAGAGAGTTGAACTCAAAGGAGATCCGATTTGGATATCCGCAGTAAAAACAGATTGCAGCAATGGACATCCCCCCTCCACCCCCACCGCACTTCTCGATGGAGTAACGACTTGGTAAGACTTGTAGAAAGTCGATGGATGCATGTGACTCAGGATAGTGTTTTATGGATTTCTTGGAGGAGGCCTTTGTTCAGTAGCATTCATTGGTATAACAATTATGTCGTCAGCGAAAACTTTAAAAAAATACATTAGATTGTTAATTTTGTTAATGAATAATGATGTTTTAATTTCTGAAATATATAAAACGTTATAAAAGGATAATATCATTTCGAAGTTCGAATTTCTAATTATAATGCATTATTTTGGCAACACTAATTATATGACGTAATTTTTCCTACGTATGTATGTATCCAAAGCATTTTCCTATATGAATAGAAAGGTCATTATAAAATGTAGTGATTATATACTCTCCAATATATCTATAATCTACGTTATATACGCATTATTTCTGTCTTTTCACAAAACGTATTTAGTAGATAGTCTTCAGTTTAAAGAAGAGTTTTTGTCACTAAGGAAGACCCTTAGGCGCAGCACCTCAGTCTTCTCGAAATTTGACATTTATTATCAAATTTCATACTTCACATTTTAGCTTACATATTTACTCGGTACTTCTGTATTGAAACATACTTTAGTTTAAACCTAAAACTAATTATAAACTACTATTTCGGGTTATTTAGTTAGCACTTGCCTTTGAACTTGTCAGCAAGAGAGAGCTATTGTGGCATTTATTAAAGCTATGCAGTTTTAATTTAATAATATAATAAGAGGATTTTATTGTCATTTTAAACAGTGCCCATATATTATATATACATATAGACTTTTTTTGAAATAGATTTGGTTTTGGTCTAGTTTACCACAAAAGGTAAATGTTTTGGCGGTCCTAGTATTTTAAGCATGCAATCAAATTGATTTTGTGTAATAACATATTATTACATAAACACTCTCGTCTGTCACCCAGTGTGGTAATACTACGGACTTCCATTTGACACGATCCCGAACAGATCTGCCTCTCTTGCCTCCTTCGCATCCATACACCTACGCATTCATGATCTTCCGTTAAGGATACTTTTAATTTGGCCCATGTTTAATATATTGCCAATTTGGTCGATAGTTAATTTACGTTTGCGGCGCCTCTTGTTAGCTCTGACATTCACTTCTGCAACGTAAATTTGCTTTATCACTCTTTCCTCATTCATTCTTTCTACATGCCCAAACCACCAAAACATTACTTTCATAATCCCGGTCACAACATCATCTTGCAAACCACACTTTACTTATCGCACATCTTTCTGAAGTAATTCTAGGTATTCATTATATTCACTAGTTCGTACAGAAAAACTCCCCATTACTAATTTGAATATATAAACAAAATCTAGGAACAAGGTACACACACATATAGATCATCTCTTAGACTTACACAGTTTGCTGTCAATTAAATGACCGTGAGTTATCTAATCCATTCCAAATTGTAAAAAAGGTAAAATGTAAACAAAGTAGAAGCAAGGTGAATTGAGTGCTTTACGTTAAAATATTTTAAAGTGGATAGAAGTGTTACAGCCTAATTAAAACTTCATTTAAATACCCTATCATACATTTCGAGATGTAAACACGACTGTGATAGTTTTATCCGGAAGATAAGTAGAAAGTGCAAGGTTTATTTAATCGAATTGTATTAAACATATAGTCTTGGAAATATGTTTACGAGATCTGAACTAATTAATAATAAATAACTTTAAAAATAGCATCTACGTTTTAATTAGACTAGACTGCGGCTAATAAATCTGTAGATAATATCCGGTGATAGCACTTTCAGCATTCATTATTTGCGTGTGGTGCTTGGCTAAAATTTAAAATAAAACAATATACAGGTTAGTTAAAACCAAGCCAGTCTCGAGCACAGGGGCAGTGTAGCCAGACTCTCGATATCCGGAGATATATCGGAGAGTATACGCAGGAATTACATGATTTAATTCCTCTCTCCCCTTTACACCAACGAACCATCAATCCAAGAAACGCTTGCTGAGTCTACAACACCTTTGTTGTCGATATTCCACGCATTCGAAACAAACAGCTTGCTTCGTGTTTCGTAATGCGTAATGCAAAAGAATAATTTGCCAGTGACTGTCTTTCCGATATTACAATCAAACAGTACGAGTATAAGATCACTACGTTTAAATAATAATGTCAATGCCTAAATTTTTTATCATCTATGGCTCATTATTACTCACCTTCACCACAACCTCACCAGCACGGCTAGCATGGGCAAGAGATAATTTTATCCCTGGGGAAAGGAGAAAATGTTTATCCCCTCGCTTAGTTTTATCCACCCTTCGAACATGGTCACACCGGTGGATATAATATCCACAGTAGATAAAATGGGAGATAGACTTAGATAATTTTTGTATGAATATAAACTTAAACCCACATCCAATGAACTAGGATAAAATTGTCCCTTTCAAATGTCAAAAAAGCATATTTTTTTATCTTTCATTTGGCTCCCTGCCACGGACGGGGGATATATGTCTACTCGTTATGTCAAACGGGGATATACTTCTCCCCGTTGCCGTGATTTAGCATGAGGACAAGATAATTTTATCTCTTGTGAGTGGATATAATCGGGGGATATTTTTTTGTCCCCAGCCCATGCTAGCCGTGCAGGTGGAAAAAATAGATTGTACAATACAATTATGTAGGTAAATATAAAATAGATCAAGAGTTTTAAATAAATTATTTAAGAAAAAATCTTAACATATTATTACATAAGAATTTATAAGGTCAGGGAAATAAAAGTTATTTCTTATATTTACCCGAACACTACACATTTAAATAAAACTAATTTTACGGATTTTATCGCGTATATTAACTTATTTTATATTCCCGACGTATTGAGCACTTTACAGCACCCATGGTCACAGAGGGGACTGAGGTGTATGACGTCCCAATATCATAGTTAACCATGGCTAACTCCAGATTAAAAATTATTAATTTTTGTTCCGATCTACGCAGTATGAACATCAAGATACTGTAAGATAAAATACGTAAAATTAGTTTTATTTAAAAGAAATAAAAGTTACTATTTTGATAATTATATCATTACATAGAAGCTAATTATATACTTCTCCGAGGTGTGCTAAAATTAACAAATTCAATATTAACCATAAAAATAAAGGTCGTTTAAGAACAAAGGTAAATGACGTGTGACTTATTTCTGTTTCTCTGGCGTATACGTCGTCAGTTCATTGGCACGACAAAAGCGGAATGGTGATGGCTGTTTGGCAAGTTCACAGTCAGTCACGCTGGTTACGTATGATAGATGGAACCTTGAACTTTAAACAGGTGTTTTCGTTTTTCTTAAGAATATTTGTATATTAAAATATTTATGATAAATATTCTATAGCAAAAGCTGTGCTAGCTCAGAAGCGCTCGTCGTATTTTTCAAAGTACGCGAGCAACGCGGCAACAACCATCGGCACCAATGAAATTATTAATTGCAAGTTTAAGTGCTGATTTACTACATGCTCAGCACCTCCCTTGTGAAAGAAAACGCGACTGAAGAATGTGAGGAAAGTGTGGACGTTATACTTTCATCGCATTCTTTAGTTGCGTTTTCTTAGCACGTAGGAGGTATTTTTTGTATAGCAGTCGATCTGGTTAGGTACCACCCATTTATCTATTTCTGCTGCTAAATAACAGTGTTTATATAGCTGCTTGTTTAAGTTTAAAAGGTATAGAAAGCCAGTATAGTTACAGGCTGAAAGGCATTCCAGTCTTCAGAAATAACCTTCTTTGTTCGAAGTTGGTTGCATGTGCCATTTTGCTGTAATAGCCACTTACCATCACGTGGGCTGTTAAGTTTGTTTGTTACTTTTTATATTGTAACGGTGACAAACGAGCACGCAGTCCACCTGATGGTAAGTGGTTGCTGTTGCACACAGACATCTACATCTATCCTCGATTACTAATCAAAATGCAGATGCATTGTCTCCCGTGAGGACGAAGATGGAATGAATTGTTTCCAGCAAAAAGGTTCCCCGGTTCTCTACACTCACCATAAGCAATACTGCAGCATTAAGCTGCCATTTTAGGCTGGTATTCTGTGAGAGCGTGGTCCTTCCCCGGTCGAGCCGACCTATTCGTGCTACAACTATACTACTAATACAACTGCAGCATGGCTGTACTACGTAAGAACGTACTTCAGTTTTTTGTAAGAAACTTGAGACCTGCAAATGCGAGAAATAAAAATTTTGAGTTAAGAAAAACATGTGAAGACTGTCAACACACTCTGATACAGCGCGATGTACAAATAAAAGTTAGCGGTGTGTTACCAGCAAGAGTTTGACTGTATCATTGGTCTAGTGATCATAAGCGCGACTTCTAATCAAGTGGTTCTGGGTTCGTACCCCGGCTTGGGCAGAAATCGGTTAACAATCGGACTTAAAGTCGTTTATTCTGCGCGTAATCACTCTCCGGTCGTGTTGGATTGCCGTTTCATCGGACTGAGAGTGAGGGTAGAGAGGCATACACGCGGGCACTATAGCCCTATTCTGCGCTAGATTGCTAGTTATCGTCGAGACTCGCCGAAATACCTCCGGAAAATGCTTTCCCCTACAGAGGCGGTCTCGATTACTTGCCCCACCTCCCACCTCACCGCAGCCCAAAATAAATCCTGTGGAACACCGAGTGGCCGAATTGTTTGTGCGTGTGTATGAGACAATCGAAATTGCTTTTAAGTGAATCGAGATCACCAAAAAGCGTCTCAGCGCAACTCACCTCGAAGTCCAAAGCTAGTTTGTTTTAGCCCAAGATTGAATGATCAGCTCAAAGTTTATTCGAGGAAGGTTCAACTTTTAACAACTGAAAGCGACAGCATATTCTAAAGACACATTCTGGATTGCAAGAGACACTTTGATCGCGATCATTTTTGCGGGGAAGAGTGATGCATCTTGAATTAACCTTCAAAGAACATAATGTCACATCCACAAAAAAAAAAATTCACGCATAAGAGTTAATATTTTATATCGGAAAACAAGATGAAAACATGTAAACTTGCTAAGCGTGAAACACGTGTTTATGATACAAATATTGCGTGTTGAAATGATTATTGCGTTAAAGATTTGATTATACTGCGTTGCAGATTTTTCATCTTTTATACAATACATTTCCGAAAAGTACCTACTAACTCCTGATTCTATTATGTGTATTTTTATAATAATTCTATCCGGGACACATTTTAATTTGTTTTACATGGTAGAGCCATGCTGCAGCTATCTTATGGTTGTTGCACGAATAGGCTCGACCGGAAAGGACCACGCTCTCATTGAATACTAGCGTAAACTAGCAGCTCAATACTGCCGTTTCATATGGTGAGTGTAAAGAACCGGAGCCCCTTTTTACTGGATACGAAGCATTCCATCTTAGTCCTCAGGGGTGACAACGCATCTACATTTTGATGTTTTATCGAGGATAGAGGTAGATGTCTATGGGCCACAGCATCCACTTACCATCAGGTGCGCTGTGTGCTCGCTTGTCACCCTAATTCTATAAAAAAAACGCATAGAAAATGTATCTTATATTGCCTATTTACATTTTTAGCAAGCAAGCCACGTAGCCCTAAATGCTTAATGCAATAAGGTCGTAGAGAAATATGGAAGATTTGTCAGAACACGGGGACATATAACATTTAAACGAAAAAATCTCAAAACTATGGCGAAGGATGGAATAGCTCTGTAACCTTCTCAGAAATGTGAGGAGACAGCAGCCACAGCGCCTAGCTATGGCACCTATAAAAGTTGCAATTGTATGGTAATGATAACGTGTGCTACAATACTAAAATCCTGGCATTATATTTTTATACATTTCTGCCCTTAGAAATTTATATTTGCGTAATTATTCGTTAATCTGGGACCCCAAACGATGTCCGACTCAGCAACCCAAACCTATTATTACTTTGGTATGACAATTATTTTATTTTCCAGGACTAACGACTCATCGGGCTTGGTACGGAGTATCAGCAATGCTTCCGCCCTCACTTCACTGTGCGCCGATCTGTCGCCATCCGACTCACATTTCTTTGAGGTAGGTACAGGTGAAATTGTCTAGACTTTATTCACGTTATTATTCTTGTTTTTTAAAGATTCACATTTCTTTCAGATAAATTCCGTGTACACTTTTGTCACTTTTTTTTTGTTTTTTAATTTTTACTTACATTTATTTGAGATACAAGAACTGTGTCGTCTTTATCACTTCTTTTTTCGGAAATTTTACATTGTCGGTTTTTTTGTTTTTCTAATATAGGGTAACAAACGAGCATACAGTCCACCTGATGGCAAGTCGTTGCTGTGGCCTATAGACATCTACATTTATCCTCGTTTGCGAATCAAAATGCAGATGCGTTGCCACCCGTGAGGACTAAGATGGAATGCCTCGTTTCCAGTAAAAAGGGTCTCCGGTTCTCTACACTCACCATACGAAACAGCAGTGTTAAGCTGCTATTTGACGCTGGTATTCTGTGAGAGCGTGGTCCTTCCCCGGGCGAGCCGACCCATTCGAGCTACAATTATACTACTAATATAACTGCAGCATGGCTGTACCACGTTTAAAACGGTGTCAACTTTTCTACATATTTTTTTCCAATTTCTTTTTAATTTCTAAGGTAACTCTACGGCAATAAATAAGAGATAAGTTAAGAGAATTCATTACATCATATCAATCTGTAGGTGTTAAAAGACACACAGCAACAACTAAATAATAATTTAAAAAAAACTGCGCCAACCTGTCTGAAAAGCGTGGTAACGATGGCAAATATTACTCCTGTGATGCAATCTATGGTGGTTTGAATTTATTTAAATGGATTCATTCATATGTAGTCACGTACTCATATCTTATGAGAATAAAATATATCTTCCTAATTTATTTTTGCTTCATGTTTTTATTTTTTATTTTAAATTGTCGTAGGCGAATAAGTATCTGAGCCTCCGAACTTTATTCGGTATTTGAAAAAAAAATTCTGGAATGAAACCCATTACTACATTATCTAAAGATATCCAAATCGTTAGAGCCGTTTTCGAGAGACCAATAACATATTACCTAAATACGTACATACAAAAATTTCGCACTTAAATACATCTATATGTGAATCCGGTTAGCGCCGAATTACTCATATCCCAAGTCCCAAGATATATGAAAAGTATTATAGTCAATAATGATATGAAATTGCAAATTTTATAACGTAAATTATATATTAGTAAGGCTTAAAAAAATCCCTTTTTATAATTTTGAAGATTTTTTTTGTAGGATAAAGGTGACAAACGAGCACACAGTCCACCTGATGGTAAGTGGTTGCTGCGGCCCATAGACATCTACATTTATTCTCGATTACGAATCAAAATGCAGATGCGTTGTCACTCGTGAGGACTAAGATGTAATGCCTCGTTTCCAGTAAAAAGGGTCTCCTGTTCTCTACACTCACCATACGAAACACACCAGCGTTAAGCTGCTACTTTACAATGGTATGTGGTATGGATTATTAGTTTATATAACTTAAGACCTTTATATAAATATAAAGTTTCTAATAATTATACCATATTATTAGATTATAAAAATAGTCTAAAAATATTTATAATTAATTTATAATTTATAATTAAAAAATATTTTTTTATTTAATTTATAAATTATTTAATTTTTAAATGATTAAATATAACGGAGGAATATATAATTCCAACCTTATAGTGTGTAAGTACAGCGCCGTTGAATGAAACCTTGTTTCTGTTGATGTAGCACAATACTACCATCATTTCTGCGTCCTTCAAGCTGGAATCCTCCCCAATGATATACTAAATTTTACTATGTCAAGATTTTGGCAGTCAATTAAGGGGTGACAATTAGAGACTTAGGAAAAAATATTGTTACTTTAGAGGATGTAGCCCATTTTTCAGAGGATTCTAGCTTGAATTCAAGCTTCTGAAATTCCACGTCTTTGTATCTAGAAGCAAATAGTTCTAAATAAAAATATTTTTACTTTCAGGTACTTTACATAGGCAAGGTTAGGATTTCTCAAAGAAAGGTTCCAGAGAGCCTGATAGACGATGCACTTCATAAGTTCGCTCAGCACGAGGCTGAGAAACTCAAGAATCAGAGGCGGCACAGCCTTATATCTTCCACAGCGGTATGTTTGTTCAAATGATTGTCAATCTTATCGTGTAAAATAAGAAATCAGTAAATATATATACAAATAAAATAGGAGTGCTTGTTTGTGTTGCACCATTTTGTTAATGGTAGACAGGAGAAGGATAAAGAACAAAGAGTTAGTGCGGAGCACAATGAAATGGGCATCTTAAAGGCCAGAATGTGTCAAAAAAGGTATGTATGGCGATACACAATGTTGTGTTTGTCCCTATCTTCATGTACGGTAGTAAAAGTTGGGTGTGGTAAAATATGCATGAGTGAATTTGCAAAAATATGTGAACACGATTAAGAAGGAAAAGATTCGGTGTTTCGAACACTTAGAAGCAATGAATGAGGTATGAGTGTAGAAGTGGGTGACGGAGCCACTAAGAGACGCCCTAAACGAAAATTAATCGACAAAATCGGCGATATATTAAAGATGAGTCAATTTAAAAGTAACCTTTACCGATGAGCATGTATGCGTAGATCGTGCCAAATACAAGTCTGTTGTCTCTGCCTACCTCGGTAGGTGACGGGCGTGAGAAGTTATGTATGTATGCATTTTCTTTACTAAACTAATTTTCTTTTGATTCTTCTTTATCATCAGCTCGTAAAAGTCCATCGCCGAAAATTGCGCTCTGCACATTTATGCAGGTGGCTTAGAACTGTGTTTGTGACGTTCCTTGGGACAGGCTTACGTTTGTCAGTCGAATTGTGAAAGGCTTTAATGATAATTGTCTGCTGATGATGATCTTGATATGAATTTAAACAGAAAATAGAAAATAAACATACATACATTTGACATTTTTGTGGGCAATAATATTTATCTTTTTTTAATAAAATTAAAGTGACAAAAGAACCTCTCAACCTAGTCCATCTGAAGGTAAGTGGCTACTACAGCCCGTGAATTCCTTTACCTTTTTTTGCACTTAAAAGAACAAGGATCAACAACATTACAATGTTAAGTAGAAAGAGTACAAATATATTTTTTTTTTATTTCCAGAATTCTCTTTACAGTACTAGTTCTTCAGAAAACTTAAAAGATGACGCAAAGACTGAAACCATTAGTGAAAATTTACGCAACCGGAATAGTAATCTGGTAACAAGCACTACACCTTTGGAACCAGATAAAAACCACGTTTGGAAAAGTGTTGAGAATTTAGAACAAATTAAAAGGGACCATCAACTTAACCAAAGTCAAAACAATGAAATTGATCAGGAATTCGATGTGTTCACAAAAGAGAGAGTTGAGAAAACTACTCAAATTCGTAAACCGTCTCAATTGCCTCTAGAACCTTCTTCTCTAGTATTAAATTTACCAACAAATTTGGGCACAGTGAAGGAAGATGAGGAAAAGGCTGACGATATTCAATCAGTAATATCTGAAACCGCATCATCTATAACACAATTTTGTCAATCGAATTTTCTTGACGACACAAAAAAATCTGATTTAAGCACTAATACAATTAGAGATAATAATCCCTTCCACAAAGAACTTATTGAAGCACCTGGTGATACAAATATTATAGATGTGAAAAATCCTTTACTCAATATTCCAACACAAATTGGCTTAATTGAGAAGGAAACCGAAGTACAAACAAAGTACGAGTCCAAGGTTGAAACAGAAAATAACTTATTATCAAATAATTATGAGAACAAAACAATCCCTCAAAAATTCTCTTCAGAACTTATACTAAATAGAAATGGTGAAAACAACAAAAAAAGCATTATGCCCGAGAATAAGCCATTTTTAAGAGATAGGTCTGCTTCCATAGGGACGTTAAATTTGAAGACGCCTCTTGCACAGTTAATTGGCGAACAAAACAGGACCATGCTATTTCAGGTAATATCCTTTTTTAATTCTTTTTTTTTGTAATAAAACTCAGAAAACCTCACAACTTATTTAATTCATCTGCTTTTATTCCTGTTATTTTTAACTTAAAATAAGATTTTGCAAATAATTAAATAAACTACGATTACAATCAATAAGCTATTACACGATTACAATGACAAAACTACATAGATCGTCAAATAATAATTCGTATTAAACATTATTACATCAGGTTGGTCGGTCAGAGCTTCGTCTTATCAGTCCAGACAGGAAGCAAATCCTCCTCCACAGAGCGTTTAAGGATGTTGCCAGCTGTGTGCTGGGTAGAAGCAATAAGGACCATTTTGGGTTCGTGTGTCGCGAGACCAACGAGACCTACGCTTGCTATGTGTTCAAATGCGAGAGTGATTCTGTCGCGACTGAAGTTGTCAATGGTATGTTTTATTCATCTACATATTTCTTTTCACATTTTATATATGGACAAAAAATCAATTAGGGACATTTAGAGTCTTATTACTTAAATAAGTTTATAATTAGTCTCAGGTTCAAGCGGAAATAAACGAACTAAAATTTAAATTGTATGGAATTTGACAGCAAATGTTAAATTTCGCGAAGACCTTGGTGCCGCGGTTAAGTGACTTCTTTAGTTAGAGCATATGAGTATGAGGCGAAGCTTCATACAACTGTGCTATGATAGGTACCCTACTACAAGCTTAAGGTGTGTGTGCGTGAACACTATCAACTCGTCGCGTACAGAGAGAAACTGCTTTAAACCGACTCGGCCAGTGCTCAAACTCAGGGTGAATTAACAATAGCAAATGAGTAAATAATAATAATGAATAAATAAAAATGCATCATTTTCTAATTATCCCAAATATTTTTAATGAGATAGATAGACATCTCATACATATAAGTACATCAACAAATTTATTGCATTTGTTGAATTGCTTGAGCAAATTTTTGCGAATACGAGTATTCTGATTTCGTAATAATCATTTTTAATATTGATAGCGATTAAAACGTGTGCAAGCCATGTAAGTGCTTACTATTAATAAATAAACTTTTAAAAATTAAACATTTAAAAATTACCGTTCCACTAACGGGCAAAACAAATTATTCAAAAACAAAAAATATGAAAATAAAATATTTTGCTTAAGACTTACTTTAAACTACTTAGTAGTTTGTAAAAAAAAATATTCTATCATAGACACTTAATTTTTACACATTATGAGTTGTTTAGCTGATAAACGTTTTTTATTTATTTAATAATATCCACCTGTGACACTGTGGTGTACAAATATTCTACCATAATACCAAAATCGGTAAACATTTTGGCAGCTCCTTAGAAGCTTTGCACGATTTCTTTACTCATGCGGTTAGAAATACTTTTAAATTTTAAGCCCGTAATTATCATTAAACCACATTTTATAATTAGACGGTTATAGTTTAAATCTGATTATAAGTTATCGTATTATTTTGAAAAGAGAATTTGTAACCAAAAATTGTTTTGTCTATTGCTGCTTTTGAAATAAAGAGGAGTTCATTTTTCGGTCGAAAGCAGAATATTACGAAAGATATTACGCATCCAGCCTTAGTACCTTGGCTTCTTTCATTTATTGACTCTTCATGCCGTATTGAGTATTATATGTATAAATGAGACAAGAAGACTCACTACATTATGCTGCCGTTAAAAGTTGGTACTTTGTGCAAGCGTAGTTCTAATGGCGTCGACCCCAATCATGCTGCAGCCATATTACGATGCAGCGTGGCTTTATTACATATACTAGATATAAATTACTTGTTAATGTGTTCTATCAACGCACGACGTATTATTTAGTATGTTATAACATAGGAGTAGATAAATAAAGCAATAATATCCGATGAAAGAAGCGCAAGAGTCAATTGGCAATCTACGTTCATAATTATCTTGAAGTCATAATGCATCATCAGTATTCATTTCAATGAAGATTTATGTTTGATGCGCACAACAAGTTTTATTGTTTTGTTATATTAAACAAATAATATTGTTTAATATAACAAAACCTGCTGTCACATCAAATTTATGACTTTTGGGTTGAATAATGCACGTGTGAGAAACTAAAGTATTTTTAGATTTTTTACGACATCTTTAATTGTTTTGCCAGTGAATTTATGTAAATTAATACAATATTACATGTTGTGTCGTAAATAAAACTTCGAATGTGTATGGAATATGGCAACGATTTTATATAACCGACGACAACAAATTAAAGGTATCTTCATACTATTAATATAATTCTTTCAGGCTTTAGCGAATGTATGATGTTTTCCTTTAAGTTTTTTTAATTAATTTAAATTTAACGTATTTTTTTTATTATAACTTGAAATCATGTTTTATAGTTACATAACTGCGTTTAATTAAATGTTATTTTTAGTTATAAAATAAATCTGTCATTTATATTATTTTGCATAGCATTTATACTAAATATACAATTGGATTATGGATTTTTTCCCCCTCTTAACTGGTGTTATTATAGTAAACAGAGCTTTCAAATTTTCATGCATTGTATTTTATGTCAAATTATGTCCACAGTGTAAAGATCTAACAGTTGTAAAACGCCTTTCATGACAGGCGAAGCTACCGCCCGCGTAGGTATTTACGCGGAGCCGTGTATGCTTGGGGTTGTTACAAATTTATTGAACAAAAGCATTTTTTGTTACTACAAAAAAACTACTTTTACAAGTTATTGATGTTTTTAGTTTGCGTTTGTTTTAGTTATGTAGCGTTTTCGCATATGGATAAACAATTTTATTAAAAAAAAATATGAGAGAAACATAAGCATCGCCGTCATTTGAATTAAATTTTACTTAGTAACTCATATAACTGTAACAGAATTCCCTATTTTAGATAAAACAACCTCGTGTCAACTGCATGTATTGTCCAGCAGGGCACAGGCTATCTATGAGAATTTACAAATGTAAAAAATGTACGCCAAATGTAAAAGAGATAATATTATATAAAAGAGATTCTAAATTTGATATCCTCAAATTTTTAAGAACGTGTTATATGGACTCCTACATTGAATTTTAACATCACGTAAGGAGAGGCTGAGTATTTCATTTTTCTAATTTTAATATTTCTTTGTTTCAGCCATAAGACAAGCGTTCATTGCGCATGCGGAGTTGCTGAAAAAGTCCAGGGAGAAGTCGCCCAACATGACATGCGAGCATTGTCCAATGCTCTGGTACCACCGGCTGTGTCACGATATCGAAGGTAAAATTAAAACTAATAAACTATTATATGACTTTCTCGTTGATCTGTCTATCGTAAACGTGGTTCATAATGAGGTCCCGGGTTTGAATTCCGGGTCGGCTAAAATCATTTTCTCGGATTTTCTGTCAGAATATTCTCAGTAGTAGTCCAGATTCAGGAGGTTGCAGTGATTAACCCCCGTACCTCAGAAACCCGTGTTGTTCCTGCGATCTCTCTGATCGTTTCAGATGACTGTCCCATCAGACATCAGTGAAGGAATAGAAAGTGAGAGATGGCTAGTCCTCGTTGAAAATGGCCATCGTGACCGCAATTCGATCTGGAGAATTATTTATAAATACTTATCTAACAGAATTGTCATTAAATTAATTAAATTGTTGTATATAACCGTTAAAAACACGAGACTGAGATACTAAAAAGCCGTGATTGTAAATCTGTTGAAGAAGCGTGTAATTGGTTGTCGTAAAATTACAGATCACACACTTTTTTTGTACCAATTTTAATCACACAATTCATAAAATATTTACACAATTATTTGTTTACAGCTTAATTATACAATTCACACAATTATTTGTACACAAATAAATTACTTCATTCACTAGATAAACACTTCACATTTATTGTTAAATGTTTGATTATGTTTTACTTCACTAGAACACGCACAACGGTTTACACGACACAACTTTAACGCAATCAGCGCTAGAGAGTGACTACCCGCAGCACGCAGTGCACGCCTATTTTATACTGTCGTGTGGTGGTAGAGCGAGCGCGTCACGTGATCTGACGTCATCGCGTCAGGTCTCGTCGCGGCTGGCCTCTTGCGCCGATAAATCTGCTAAACATCTGTTGCATAGAGACAAGAATTTTCAGCTAAGTTAACGAGAATGTTGACAGTGTTGCAAAAAATATGATTCCAAAAAAAAAAAAATATATTTAATAATGAGGTCATGAATCGGAATGAGATATCTGAAGGTTAACGGTGAAAGTTGCGTTAATGTGATAAATTTTTATAAATTTCTTTAGGGTTAACTATCGTAGAATGACATTTTAGCCCCACAGGTTCTTTTTCCTTTATCAGCCTTATTTAATCCATCTTCTTCTTCTTACTTCTCAAGAATGCTCCAAATGACATTAACGACTTAAATGCCAACAATTGCAATCTCAATCACGCTATTGAAGTTTCCGAATGACTGCTATTGTTATAGTAGTTTCGCTTATGGATTACATATAATATATAAAGATTAATAATTACTTATTATGTTATTGTTATAGAAGTTTTACTGTATGGAGCCTTACGGCAAATCCCCCTTTTTCCATGTGAACTGAAACCAACAAAAAAAAGCGCCGCGTATATTTCAAATGACGCCGAAACCAAGCCAAACCCATACTTAACTCACGCACCCAAATGCATCTTTAATCATTTGCAACCAAGAATATAGTTTTAGATGCATATGCGTACGTCCAGCAGTGAATTTGATAGGCTGTTAAAAAAAAAAAGGAAAGAAATGTACGCGGTGCTCCGTCTATATTTCTTTGATGGTTTCAGGCCAGTATTCAGAGGCAATCTCGAGCTTGAACTCAAAATTCACAATGTCAAAATTTGAGTCTAGTTCTTTCTATTTACACTAATTTTGATATTTTCCAGCTTGAGCTCAAACCCGAGTTGACACCGCCAATTCTGATTATTTAGCCGGGTACATAATGACAATTATTATGTAAGTGAGATTAGCTTAGAGTGTATCTTATTATGTAATAATCTCTCTTACACGGTTTCCAACACGTCTACTAGAAATCTCTATGTTGCAGGTATGCCTATGCAATCGCATTTACTCGTGATTATTATAGTCTAAACTTTACGTAACCTGCCTTTGTTCGCGCACCAATACCAACACAAAAAAAGTTTCTTAGTGCCACAAGTGGTGGCAATAATGATCACAATCATCTTTAAAGTAAAAAGGTACCACTATCGGGGTCACGTGTTAAAGACTACACATGTCCGACAAATATTTAAATTTCTCAGATATGCAAATTTCTACCCAAATTCCTTCACCACTGGGCTCATTTTAATCAAAGTAGGGTTGGTGTGCTATGAAATTCACACATACAAAAACTTGTAATATACACTATGATCAGTTTTTGTATGTGGTACAGTTACGTTGCGGCTATATTATACATGAATAAGTCGGTTTGATCGGGGAAGGACCACGCTGTCACAATACCAACGGGAAATGGCAACATAATGCTGCTGTGTTTGGTATGGTGAATGTAGAGAACCGGAGACCCTTTTCACTGAACACTAGGCATTCCGTTTTAGTTCTCAGGCGTGATAAGTGATAACGCATGTGCATTTTGATTCTTAATCGAGGATAGATGATGAAGTATGGACCACAGCATACACTTAACTTTATTTTGAATGTGTGCTCGTTTGTCACCCTTACTTTTATAAAAACAAGTAAAACCTTAGTGCAACAGAATAAAGTCGAATTTGCCTTACCACAGGTATGAACGAGAAGAAAACCCACGCGTTCATCCTGCGTCGCATCGAGCAGTTACCTGAAGATGAGCAGGATCTCATCGTCACAAAGTACCAGGGCGGTACTAACCATATTTTTGAGGTAGGTATTCCATTTTTGACGAATCAGTAGTGCTATGTACTTGACTGCAGTACCGAGAGTTTGAATCCCGCACGAAACAATAATTTGAATGAAACACAAATGATAATTTCGTGTCTAGTGAAATTTAAGTAAATATTGAATTTATTGTCTATGTATAAATAAAGTTATAGAGTGAGCACATCACGGAAAAACTACTGGATGGATTTAAATTAGGTTTTCTAAGTTTTATTTCTTAGACACTTAGCCCTTATCTAAAAAAAATTTTGCGATATCTTTATTTAATATAAAGTTATTAAAGTTTTAAGAAATAACGATTTTTATAAGCACTACGTGTTCAGTGATGTGTTTTCTTTGTTAATATATCAAGCAACGCGGACGAAGTAAACGGCTATCAGCTAGTTGAAAGTAAGTGACCAACAGTTTAAGTCCTATTGATAGTATGTGGTTTCTGCAGCCTACGGAAACCTGAAACCAACTTCAAATAAAGCTCAAAACTTCAAATAAAGGCTACAGTTGCGTTGTAGACCCTGAGGACTAAGGTGGAATGGCTCACAACTTGTATTTATACTGGCTCTCTGAATATACTTTGGTCGCTCCCTTGTGGTACTCCACTTTAATCACACTCTCAAGGTACAGGTATTTGAAATAAAACCCAAGAACTCAGAGCTTTGCAAAGGTTATTTATTCTATTTTTTTTGCGCCCAGAAGCAATGTAAAGGACTACCCTCCGGGAAGTGGGGAGGAAGGTGGTGAATCGGCTGCGTGGTTATGTGGGACTCACTATGAAACCTACCCACTAAACACCACCTGGGACTGGCTTTGGCCTGTATGGCCTTTCTGCCGAATCAGAAGTGACTCCCTTTAGGGAAAGGCGGTACAGGCCAGTAGCCGCTGAGAGGCGCGCCTAATCGACCTGAGCCGCCAGGAGGCAGTCCAGGTCGGCTGAAAGCTTGTTTGTGGGGTCCGAGAGAGAGTTTCTCGGCCTGCGGACTCGATAGCGAGAGGGAAATGGGACTGTATTTATTTTATCGAAGCCATGGTCTTATATGTGGGCTTGAAAAACTACAACATACCGTGATTTAAAAGTGTACAACGCCATCTGTAAGTCGTCGTCTGAACTTATCTTAACACTATACCCTTCAGAGTAAGAGTAAGAGTGTGATACCTACCCATACGTACTCCTAGGCAGAAAAGAAATCCTACCACCGAGTAAATGTAAATGTGTAGATATATTAATCGTATCAAATGTTTCACCCTTACGGTTTCGACAAAGTGAATAGTCAGCAATAGTCTAGAAACTGGCTGGTTAAATTGTGACTGATAAATCAGAAACACTAACCGTTCAGAAAGAATGTAAGAATTTCTATTTATTATGCAACTAGTGATCTGCCCCGGCTTCGCACGGGTGGTTTTTGGATCTCGACTACAGCGCTACCTACCGGGTCCAAATGAACGAATCTAAACCATCTGGGGACCATTTACCATTAATCATAAATTCAAACACACACAAAAAATTTCATCAGCCGAGCCGTTTTCGAGTTTTAGCGAGACTAACGGACAGCAATTGACTTTATATATAGAGATAATGTAAGTCAGAAAGAATGATTGAGAAAAGTATGACAAATTAAAGACGCACTAGACAGAAATATATTGAATAATGGGCGATAAATTAAAAATAGGCCAAATTAAACCGACCCTCAACTGACGAGCATATAATGCGTATATATATGGATGTGAAGGAAGCGAGAGAGGTGTGTCAGGATCGTGCCAAATGGAAGTCTTTACCGTCTCTACCTACCCCACTGGGTGCCAGGCGTAATAAGCTTATATTGTGTTGATCCGCTAAACCATTGATAAAATATCAATATCTTCGTCCTAATGACTTCTTAAACCCTAAAATTAATAACGTTCTCTTGCCGACAGGTCGGCGAACACAATGCTTTCCTGATGATGCTTCTTCGCGCTCATTGTGAATCGAAGCAGCAAAGGCATGTTCACGATACAGCCGAGAATCGGTATGTATAGCCCAATAATATAAAGGTTATCTAAATCAAACCTTAGAAGTCCATTTCTGGATATGGGTTTCTCCCAATTTAGAACAATGTATATATAACTTTGACACAGCTGCCCGCTAACTTCCGTTACAGCTTGTCCAAGTCCACTGCTGAACATAGGCCTCCCACATAGATGTTAAGAAGACGCTGCTGCCCATCTCCTAGTTTGTATCCTCCTGTCACCTCTTACGTCACCTACTACGTTCATTTACATCATAATTATTGTCGCTTTAAAGTACATTGCTTCGTATGCTATATAGCTATTCTATAAGAGCAGATATTTTATAGAACATACCACGCAATATACTACTAAGTATATTGCGGTTTGCCGTTTACTGTTTTGTTTGTGAAAAAGTGTGTGAAGCTCAATAAAAAAAGTGGTAAGTTTTCTGTTTTATACGTTATTTCTAATGTTATTGTATATCAAATCAATTGTGAAGATATTTCTTTTAAGTAATGTGTATCATTACGTCAATTCTAAAACATTTTGATGTCAACGAAGTCAGCGATTAAGCCTGCTGGTCTACACTGAGACAATACCGCCATCCATCGTAAGCCTTCTAGAAAAATCTCTCTAGCTTTCCCTATAGGGGGGTCTTGCAACACCTACCTGATAATATGGGGGACTTACGCTTACGCTGTAAACAAATGAAATACGATTTCTTTATTTTTGTAATATAGAAGCTAGTACATCATCTTCTTCATCACCCCGTAAGGAGGATTGGCCTTAATCGTCACGCTTGGCAGGCAAATTGATGATCGCATTACTATTATTATTTATTATGAGCCGTGCCTTTAGCGCAAAGAAATAATTATATCGCATTTTATCGGAAACTATAAATTCTTTCCGGTGTTACCTATAATCACCTCTTACGACACCCATGGGATGAAATGGGGTTATAGATTCTCCTACGCCGCTACCACTACTGTAAGGAATATCGTAATCGCCAATCCAAGTAAATTAATAAATTGAATTGAGTAATTTGATTTATTAAGTTACTTTTTGAAGAAATGTTGCCAACAGTAATATAAATCACCCCAACAATAGCGTCTATAAAATAAGTGCCAATGAATACAGTTGTTATGATGCAATATTTTATACAAAATCCAAGCTCTTGGCGACGAGAATCTTTAAAATGCACCTGTGCAAGTAGGCACTTTTATAAACCGAAATATTACAATAGAAAACCAAGGACCTACGTGATAATTAATTAACTTAAGCAGTACGTTTATACGTGGTAGAGCCATGCTGCAGCTACATACTTTAGTAGTATAGTTGTAGCACGAATGGGTCGGCTCGACCGGGGAAGGACCACGCTCTCACAGAATACCAGCGTCAAATAGCAGCTTAACACTGCTGTTTCTTGTGGTGAGTGTAGAGAACCGGAGACCTTTTTTTCTGAAAAAGAGGCATTCCATCTTAGTTCCCACGGGTGACAACGCATCTGCATTTTGATTCGCAAACTAGGTTAGATGTAGATGTCATGCCACAGCCACCATTTACCATCAAGTGGATTGTGTGCTCGTTTGTCACCCTATCCTATAAAAAAAAGAACGCTAAATTTTACCACCAAGCTCGGCGATTACTTCTTTAACTTACGACCAGTCCTTACTACAATGTGAGTGACTCATGTCAAGCTGTGACTATTACGGAATTAAAAGAAATGGAGAAAGAAGACACGGCGAGAGTATATGTCTAATTAACTTAAATGTAAAAAACAAAATGTTATAGATACCTTCAAGAAAAAAAAACCTGCTCCTCCCTAAAAGACTGGCAAAACGCCTGCGATTCCACAGCTGTTACAGATGACTATCGTTAGTTGCGGTGATCATCTGCCATTGGATGAGCTGCATACGTGTTTGTCTCTTCTATAAAATCTTTCTTGATATAGGAAAAGTTCATGTTTTCCAATGTCCTGTTGATAGGCCCGAAGAAAAGTCCGATTTACATGCTGGGAACTACTATTACTTTACGTAAAAATCCACTCCTGAACATGGATCTCTCACATTAATGGACGAATTCAACATAATCACCACGCATGGGAGGCGAATTAGTTATGCTTGCCGTGATGATTTAATCTTGTAAAGTAGCCTTAATCCCCAATGCATTAAAGTCCCTTTTCTAGTGGTATTAGCGTGTAGTAGTGGTGTTAGCGAATTCGGAATCGTAAGTGGCAACTATGGGAATATAAGAAAAAAATGTTATGGCTTATGGCGGAATAATCAACTCGATTACGCCGGACGTAAAATATCCAGAACGGCGACGGGAAGCAGCCTCAAAAGTGCAAAGGGTTTGTTATTTTTTTATAAAATCAGGGTGACAAACGAGCACACAGTCTACCTGATGCTAAATGATTGCTGTGGCCCATAGACATCTACATCTACCCTCAAAATTCAGTATGCATAAAGGGTCTCCGGTTCTCTCATCATACGAAATACAGCAGTATTAAGCTGCTATTTTACGCTGGTATTCTGTGAGAGCGTGACCCTTCCTTGGTCGAGTCGAACCATTCTAGCTATAATCATGTTATAACTGCAGCGTAACTATTATTTAGAAATGCTGTCATCACACTTGCCAGGCGGATGGCAAGGCAACTAAAATGGGAGAGACTCATGTCTAGTAATAAACTTTTATGAGCTAGACAAAAAATTACATGGTGATGCTGATATTTTGTTTCTAATTTTGTTACAGGTCAGAGTTCCTAAACCAGTACTTGGGCGGCAGTACGATATTCATGAAGGCGAAACGCTCGCTCTCGAGTGGCTTCGATCATTTGCTAAAGAGGAAAGTGAGCAGAGATGACATGGTTGCACAGCAGGGGAAAAAGGTGAGCGATTTGGATTTGTTAAAGCCGTAGGTCTCCCCATAGATTTCCTCATAGGGGGTTATTTGCCGTAGTTATCACGCTTGGCAGCCGCAGAGTTTTAGTTTTTAGTTGTTATTAGTAAGACGCTGCTACCTATCTCCTAGTTTGTTTTCCTTTGTCACCTCTTATCTCACCTACGGAATGATATGGGGTAGTGGATATTCTTACACCATCATTACACGATCTAATAAAGACCCCATCTCGAGATTATTGTGACACTTCTAATTCATTAGTCAGTGATATCAATTGTTGCATATGCATATCCTCTGTAACCTGTTTGTAGTTGACAGGCGACCGAATCTATCGATCTATCGATATCTTGTAAAAATTATTGAGCATCCATTATTTATTGAGCAACTATTGTTTATTGAGCGTCCATTATCTACTGAGCGTCCTTTATTTATTGAGCATCCATTTTATCGATCGTCCATTATTAGTTGAGCGTCCATTATTTATTGAGCGTCCATTATTTACTGAGCGTCCATTATTTATTGAGCTTCCATTATTTATTGTGGTACGTGGCCAAATTTGATAAATACTTTATTTTACGGTTGATTGAAAGTGGGGTGACTCTTAAATTCCATACATCAATAATATGCGATTCCTCGCCTTTCTAAATAATGTCTTCCAGACCGAATTTTGGAGAAAGGCGGGCTCAACGGAGACTAGCCCCTAGATAAGATTGTAGTGCACCAGTGTGTGCGCAAGCACATGTGTACTCTCTATTCCTTCACTCTCACAGTCCGATGGGACGAAAATCCGACACGATCGAAGAGAGATTAGGCGCAGGATCAACAGCCTTTTTAAAAAAAAATAAGTTTACCCCCACAATAAGATTTTCTCCTGTATCGTAGAGGCAGTTTACGAACATAAATTACACCCAGAGCCGGAACAATTATTTGTAGGCCATACAAATACTTGTTCCGTTCGGGATTCAGAACAGCGGCTCCCAGCGCTGCAGCTCATTGCTAAGGTACTGCGCCACGGAGTCGTCGGCTTTACGTGCTCTCCGAGGCACGGGTTTGAAACATCGCCAAATACAGTGAGGGTAAAGCGAATATCTTTGATAAAAATCTGAAATGATAGTGACAATTTGAAAATATGTTTTGCGTATGCCATAACAATTCGCATAAATACCATACAGGAGCCGTCACAAGTCCCCCCACCAATTGTGACGGAAACAACATCGGAGCAGTCAGGATCAGAGATGTCGCCGGACGTCACTCGGTCCAAGTCCACGTCTCCAGCCGCGAATGCAGTCGAGAAAGGTTAATATTACAGTTTTGAGTAGCAAAAACATACCCATTTAATTGAATAGTATTGCCAGATACATTAATGTGAAAACGAGCTTACAGAACATAGACACATGCAAACAACACCAAAAAACGAAGTTTTTCTCCTTCTAAAATACCTCACTTCCTTCTGAAATACCCGACAACCATATTTTTGTAGAATCAGAATGACAAGAGAGCACACAGTCCAGTTGATGGTAAGTGAACGCTGTGGCGCATGGACATCGACATCCCACTTCGATTCAGAATTAAAATATAGACTCGTTGTCACTCCTGAAGATTAAGATGAAACGCCTCGTTACGTATAGAGGGTCTCCGATTCTCTACACTCAACATACGATACACAGCAGCATTATTCCGTTATTTATATGGTTCACTGGTATTCAGTGTGGTCCCGGTTCTATCCAGGTTGAGCCGACCCAATCAGGACGCAGCCATACACTGCAGCACATGGACAGCTGCAACCAGCTTTAAACAAAGAAGACTATAGATGCGTCTTTTCACACTGAAATAATATATATATATATATATATATATATATATATATATATATATATATATATATATATATATATATATAATATAATAACAGTGGGTGCCATAATACTTGGTGACTGAATTAGGTATAATATGTAGTTTTATAAGCCAGTGTTTAGTAGTTAGCACATTGGCTGTGCCTACCAACTAAACTTGTCTGGGTCGCGTTTGTGAAATTGCGATCAAACTTTTTGTCATGTACTGGAATTGAGACACTGATCTTCACTATTGTCTGTATGAGTAAATCGCTCAGCGAGTTTTGGAGAGGACTAATAAAGATATACGAACCGACTCGCGCGCAGACTTGACGACTTCCAGCCTCCCGAACAAGCCGGTTTCCGAAAAGGCTTTAGCACCATAGACCACATACATACCCTTCGGCAAATTGTACAGAAGTCCGAGGAGTACAATTTGCCACTATGTCTGCCGTATGTGGACTGAGAAAGCCTTTGATTCCGTCGAAATTTGGGCGGTGCTGCAGTCCCTTCAGCGATGCCAAGTTGACTGTCGGTATATCGAAGTGCTGAAGTGCTTGTACAGTAGGGCTACGATGGCTATCCAAGTACAAAACCATAGTACGAAACCTATCCAATTGCAGAGAGGTGTAAGACAGGGTGACGTTATATCCCCGAAACTCTACACCACTGCATTGGAAGACGTTTTCAAGCTTCTGGACTGGAAAGGATACGGTATTAACATCAATGGCGAGTACATCACTCACCTTCGATTTGCCGACGATATAGTCCTTATGGCAGAATCGCTGGAGGACCTAAGCACTATGCTCAATGACCTCAAAAGTGTTTCCCAACGGATAGGTCTTAAGATGAACATGGACAAAACTAAACTCGTCACAATCGGTCGAGCCAGTTTCGAGTTTTAGCAAGACTGAAGAACAGAAACTGATTTTTATACATACTTACCCGCAGTTGTATCGCTTCGCATGTGTATGTTGTGTGCGTGAGTGTGTGTTCTAGAAATAAGTTGAGCATAGTTTTATAAAATGTACGCAGCGCTCCGTCTACCTTTCTTTTATGGTTTGACCCACAAGCAGACTGTGAGTCGTTTTTCATTAAAAAGTTGTTTCGAGCTGGTTTTAATAAAATTAACTATTCGCTTTATCTTAGAGCAACCGTCATCACCACCTAAGGCCGTCATCCCGCCTGCAGTTGAAGAGGAGTCGGAAGACGTGAGGGATGACACCCCGCCCGTACATTCTCCAATGATGGATATGTAAGTTTTTTTGGAATTATTTCTATGTGGTATATAAGGTAATTGCCATGAGACTGGCAGCCTGTTATAATTATTTTACGTGGTAGAACCACGCTGCAGCTATATTATGGTTGTAGCACGAATAGGTCGGCTCTACCGGGGAAGTACCACGCTCTCACAGAATGGCAGCTTAATGCTGCTGTTTCGTATGGTGAGTGTAGATAACCGGAGACCCTTTTTACTGGAAACGAGGCATTCCATCTTAGTCCTCAAGGGTGACAATGCATCTGCATTTTAATTCTAAATAAAATTAGATCTAGATGTTTATGGGCCACAGCATCCAATTACCATGAACTGTGTGCTCGATTGTCACCCATCTTTTATATAAAAAAATGTATTTTTAATGTAATTGCTATTATTTGCAGATTCCTCAAAGTGAGCGATAACCGACCGACCGCAACTGAGACTGGGGCAGAGTCGGACGCCACCTGGCGGCAAGCGATATACGAGAAGGCGATCCAGCCGCCTGAAGTAGAGGAAGGTAATATTGTAGTCTTTACATGCTTTATATTGCCTGAACTGTATGTGTGTGTGTGTGTGTGTGTGTGTGTGTGTGTGTGTGTGTGTGTGTGTGTGTGTGTGTGTGTGTGTGTGTGTGTGTGTGTGTGTGTGTGTGTGTGTGTGTGTGTGTGTGTGTGTGTGTGTGTGTGTGTGGGTGTGTGTGTGTGTGTGTGTGTGTGTGTGTGTGTGTGTGTGTGTGTGTGTGTGCGTATTTAGGAATCTAATAGAATTTTATAATTCAGTTTTCACCTGTTATCTCAAATTTCGCAGATGTATTAAGAATTGATGACAATACATATCTTGGCTATGACCTAGAAGTATCTACTACTAGTAACTACTAGAATCATCACAGCTCATTATCAATATGTATTGTTTTTTTCTAACTCTAATATTGTTACGAGCTTGGGGTTTGAGACAATTAAAAACTGCCTAGTGAATTTCCAAAATTGACACTTTAATTACAGAACACTAATTACAACTTAAAACCACACATAAAACACAATTTTACTACTGATCACTTTAGTTCGCAATTGTATCGCTTCGTTTGTATCGCCAATTCAACATTGCTCCGGGTCGCGGTCTATATCGGCCTTATATAGAGAGCCTCAGATAGTTCCAGAACTTCCTACTGAAGAAATATCTAGAATGTTCGAGTACATACCAGTCCCGACTGACTAGGTGTCGATAGTTCTAGAAAGTTCTTCCATGGAAATTTCTAGAAGGATCGTGACACTCCTAGTTCAGCTACTCGATACTAGAAGGCGCTAGTGATAACAAGTGTTGCTATGTACCAGGCATTAATTGTGCCGCGCAACAATATTATTAACTTATTTTTTTACTATACCGTAAAACAAGAAAATATTTAACAACAATGTAGGTAAATAATAGTTATAGAATGTGGATCAACAAAATACAGACATGATGACATGACAGGCGAGATTAGTATTCTTAATGTAGGTCTGTTAGTATTCTTAATTACTCGAAGAGTAAAATTGGAAGTAAGGATGCTTTTAAGAGAAAAATGCATAGAAAAATAAACTTTTCGAGATCAGCGTGTGGTGTCAATCTAATGCTCTTTGAAATACTTTTTCAAAAATGTATATTCCAATATTTTGGATTTAATTCAAGTCAAAAATCAGAAAATCTGGGAAATATTAGAGCAATTAGTAACAGGGTAAAAGAAAATGTACCTAAATTGTCAATTTTTAGTGTTTTTTAAAACCTTTTTTTGGTAAATCCGCATTAAAAATTCAGTCCCTCTTTATTATTGTTAAAAGAAGCTTTCAATAAACCTTAAAAAATATGGGCTCATACTGTTTATATTATTATGTTATTATTAATAAATAGATGGAGAATGAACCAAAGTTATTAGGATAGACATTCCTTGATATAATATTATAATATGTAGCTATTCATCAAATTTAATGTAAATTTCTCGAACTGAAAAGTAAAAATTATTGCAGATGAACTCACTTCTACTCATCTTCTTGGTCGCCCGAAGATCAACCAAGGCAAGCGGAGCAAAGAACAGTTGAGGCAGCTTTGGAAGATGGCAATCGACCAGACCATCCTCCTGGTTAGAATGGAGAAGGAAAATGCCAGGTTGAAAGGTAGGAACCATTGGCACTTCGATTTATAACTATGTTAAATCTAAAAGAAATTGTGATTTCTGGTTTTAGTTATGTAATCTTTACTTTTTTTTAGCCCGAAACTTTTTATTGAATCCGTAATAACCTTTCGAGGTTTTAGCTTCTCTACTGCAGAAAGAATTTGCCGTAATAGTTACGCTTGGCGATCGGTTTTGTGATTGATTGGATTGGTGTCTCGAATATTTGACACTTGGTATTGACGCAAGAATAGCCACCATCCTTTGACGTCCCATAGGTGTCGTAATAGACGACTGTTGGGAATGTCAGAAAATCTTATGGCTACCGATAGATGGCGGTATAACCAATTTTTTGACGCCAGACGTAAAATACAAAGATCCGTGACAGAAGAACGGTGATACTGAAAGATGCTCAAGTCTTGTTATCGCTAATCCTACCAAGCGTAGTGATGAAATGATATCGTACTATAAAAACATAGATATTATATTATTTACGTGATACAGCCACACTGCAGCTATATTATGTTTGTAACACGAATGGGTCAGCTCGACCGGGGTAGAACCACACTCTCACAAAATACCAGCGTAAAATAGCAGCTAAATGCTTGTGTACTCACTAAACGAAACATTGATGAGTATCGATTACCGGAGACCCTTTTTACTGGAATTGAGGTATTCCCTTTTACTTGTCAGGGGCGATAACGCATCTGCATTTCGATTTTGAATCGAGGATAGATGTAGATGTCTATGGGCCACAGCATCCACTTAGCATCAGGTGGACTATGTGTTCGTCTGTCACCCCTATTCTGTAAAAAAGTTGTTGTGTTTCAGAGAGCGAGGAATCGTCCGCGGTGCGGCGGCTGAAGCTGGAGTACGAGGAGCTGGGCGGGTGCGAGGCGGGCGCGGCCGGCATGTGGGAGGCGCTGCTGGCGGGCGAGCCCGCGCAGCGCGCCGCGCGCGTCGACCGCCACATGCTCACGCAGGCCGTGCGCAGAGGTACCGCACCCGCGCTCGCTGGCACAAGTGACGTCACGCCGCGACCTGCTGCTGACAGTGACGTCACAGTCGTCATCTAACAACACCAACTCGTCGATAAACACATGCTCAGCAGGCTGTGCTCTACTGATACACATGACATCTGACTTAACCTACTGATACTGTCCAGGTCGTGCTTAACTGGTGCCAGTGACATCACAGTCGTGACTTCCAGTAAATTACGACAATGATGTCAATAATACCATTAGCATCCCGGCCGTGATCTACTGGTACCAGTAACATCTCAGTCGTACCTACTGGTACCAGTTACATCTTAGTTTTACTTACTGATACCAATGAAATCTCAGACTGGATTTACTGGTGGTGACACCTGAGTCGGAGTTTCTGGAATCAGCGACATCTTAGCCGTACCTACTGGTAACGGTGACATCCCGACCGTGACTAATTGGAACCATCGACATTCCAGCCGTGAACTGTACCCAACGACATCCCAACCATCCGTGTGCAAATTAAATACTAGGTCAAAATTAACACTTCTTTTCAATTTGGGCTGATTTAGGCTCGCAAAAAACGCTAAAATATTTGTACCAGAGGCCTACTATAGGTAAAAACGCTATTGTTACACTTTTTAGACTATGATTACTGATTCGACTTTCACTTGGATTTAAAATTTGACTTTAATTAATTTTTACTTTGACTTTCACTCTAATTTCTCTGACACTGACTTTAACTTTGGCAGGCGTGCCGCGCGTGTCCCGAGGCGCAGTGTGGTACTTCCTGGCTGAGCAAGCCTGTCTGCGCTCGCCGCCGCCTGAGCCGCGCGCCTGCCCGCTCTACCACACGCCCTACCGCACGCTGCTCGCCGGGCTCACCAAGCACCAGCACGCGATACTCATCGACCTCGGTGAGATGTGCCGCGACACTCGCACACGTACACAGCTCACTCCCATCTCGCGCCGCTATTTATAGCAAAAGATTTTTATAACGTAATTGTATAATAATCGATCATCTTCGAAAATAAAATGCCAATTTAAAACAACTTTTATTTAAAACACAATAGGTCGCACATTTCCGAAGCATTCGTACTTCGCGGCGGCGCTGGGCCCCGGTCAATTGGCGCTCTACAATATTCTGAAAGCATATTCTTTGTTGGATCCAGACGTGGGCTACTGCCAGGGCCTAAGTTTTGTGGCCGGAGTTTTGCTACTGCATGTAAGTATTTCTTAATATTCCTTTTGGCCATTGTCATTTTCAATTTTTTCTATGTGCGTTTTACATCTCATAGACACTTTGTCACTAAATGCAAGTAAAAAAGGCTACGAGTGCATTGTAATCTGAGGACTAAAAGATATTATACTACTAACATGTATGTGTATTCCCGTGTAGTGGAAAGAATACTCACTACCCCATATCTTCTTGTGGGTGTCGTAAGAGGCGACAGAGGGAAACTGAGGCAGAGGATGGGCAGCGGCATCTTTTTGATAATAGCAAAAAGACAATAAAAGAAACTACGGTTGCCAACCCGCTCGCCAAGCGTGGCAACTATGGCCATATACCCCCCATGAGCAATGACATTAATAAACGGCCTCTAGTCCCTGGCGACCCCGCTATTCCTGGCTACGGTCGCGACCATGGTAATGGCGGGTAGAGGGTGCTAAGAATCTCTGGTGGAGGTTTGGTTGCCACCTACGACGACTCGACCTGGCAACTTATAACGCAGGTACCCTAAGGACTGACGAAAAGATCCTGGAGCTGGAAGAAGAGATAAAAAATTTGCGCTGGAATATCATAGGATTATCCGAGGTCCGAAGAGAGGGTGAGGACACGGTAATCCTCAAATTCGGCAACTTGTTCTATCACCGGGAGGGCGACCATGACTGTACCAAGGAGGTGTCGGATTTATCGTCCACAAGTCTCTTGTTAACAACGTTGTAAAGATTGGGAGTGTATCGACGAGGGTTGCGTACCTTATACTCAGAATCACCAAACGGTATTCGCTTACGGTTTACGCACCAACCTCGGCACACCTCGATGAGGAGGTGGAGGAAATGTATGAGGATATCTCTAGAGCCATGCATTCCTCCAAAACCCACTATACGGTGTTAATGGGAGACTTCAACGCAAAACTAGGCACAAGAGATACCGGTGAGCTGAAAGTAGGGAAATTCGGAATGGGGCAACGGAACCCAAGGGACCAGCAGCTGACTGACTTCATGGAGAAAGAGGGACTCTTTATGATGAACTCTTTCTTTTAGAAGCGGCCCCACAGGAAGTGGACCTGGTCGAGCCCCGACGGTTCGACAATAAACGAGATAGACTTCATTATGACGACCAGACAACAACTGTTCAGTGATGTCTCAGTGATCGCGAGAGTGAAAACCGGCAGCGATCACCGAATGGTGAGAGGCACACTGAACCTAAACCTTAAGTTGGAGAGATCATGTCTAATGAAGTCAACGCTCCCTCCCCCTCGTGCTCTAAACCAAAGTCCCAAAACCTTTCAGCTCGAGCTACGAAACCGTTTTCAGTGCCTAGAAGATTGCAATGCAGTGGACGCTATGAATACCAAGCTCGTGGAAACTGTCCATACGGTCGGAGCTAAATTTTGCAAGACCCGCCGCAGAAGAACACAAAAACTCTCCGATCACAATCTTAATCTCATGGCTGTTAGAAGGGTTATGAAGCTGCAGTCTTCAGTAGATTTGACAACATACAGGCAATTGAACAGACATATCTCCAAATGCATGCGAGACTTACGCAACTTTAATACTGCTCGTATTGAAGAAGCGATCGAGCGGAATCAGGACTCCAAAGTCTTTGCTAGAGATCTGTCTGCCAGAAAGAGACAACTGTCGAAGCTGAAGACCGAGTGTGGCAGCATCATTGCCGGGACACCTGAGATTTTGAGTGAGATTGAGAGGTTCTATGGGCAACTTTACATATCATCGTTGGAGCCACACGCAAGTGTGAGTAACGATCCAAGAGCGAGTCTTATCCTACATTATTCCGATGATATCCCAGACGTCAGTCTGAGCGAGATTAGAATGGCTCTCCAGCACCTTAAAAACGGCAAGGCCCAAGGCGAGGATGGAATTACAGCGGAGCTTCTGAAAGCGGGTGGAAGACCGGTACTTGAAATCCTTCAGAAGCTCTTTGATTCCGTCCTTCATGGTGGCATTACACCGGAGGCGTGGAGCAGAAGTGCGGTGGTCTTGTTCTTCAAGAAAGGCGACGATGCGCGCTCTTGAAGAACTACAGACCGATTTCCCTTCTGAGCCGCGTCTACGTGCTGTTTTCGAGAGTCATTACAAATCGCCTTGCGCGCAGACTTGACAACTTCCAGCCTCCTGGATAAGCCGGTTTCCGAAAAGGCTTTAGTACCATAGACCACATACATACCCTTCGGCAAATTGTACAGAAGTCCGAGGAGTACAATTTGCCACTATGTCTGGTGTATGTGGACTATGAGAAAGCCTTTGATTCCGTCGAAATTTGAGCGGTGCTGCAGTCCCTTCAGCGGTGCCAAGTTGACTGTCGGTATATTGAAGTGTTGAAGTGCTTTTATAGTAGGGCTACGATGGCTATCCGAGTACAGAACCAAAGTACGAAACCTATCCAATTGCAGAGAGGTGTAAAACAGGATGACGTCATATCCCCGAAACTCTTCACCACTGCATTGGAAGACGATTTCAAGCTTCTGGACTAGAAAGGATGCGGTATCAACATCAATGGCGAGTACATCACTCACCTTCGATTTGCCGACGATATAGTCCTTATGGCAGAATCGCTGGAGGACCTAAGCACTATGCTCAATGACCTCAATAGTGTTTCCCAACGGATCGGTCTTAAGATGAACATGGACAAAACTAAGATCATGTTTAATGTCCATGTCACACCTATGCCGGTAGTTGTTGGGAGCACTAAGCTCAAAGTTGTTAACGAGTATGTTTACCTGGGACAAATAGTCCGACTAGGTAAGTTCAACTTCGACCGAGAGGTCAATCGACAGATTCAACTCGGTTGGGCAGCGTTCGGGAAATTACGGCACATCTTCTCGTCAGGTTTACCTCAAAACTTGAAAACGAGACTGTACAACTGGCATGTGTTGCCAGTGATGACCTATGGAACTGAGACGTGGTCCTTCATTGCTGGCCGGATGAGGAAGCTCAAGGTCGCTCAGCGAGTTATGGAGAGGGCTATGCTCGGAGTTTCTCTGCGTGATAAACTTAGAAATGAGGATATCCGCAGTAGAACCAGAGTGACCGACATAGCCCAACGGATTAGTAAGCTGAAGTGGCAATAGGCTGGCCATATAGCTCGAAGAACCTACAACCGATGGGGAAATAAGGTTCTCGAGTGGCAGCCTCGTACCGGCAGGCGAAGTGTAGAGCGTCCCCCAACTAGATGGAGTGATGACCTGGTAAGATATACAGGAAGTCGATGGATGCAGGTGGCTCAGGACCGTGCTTTGTGGCATTCCTTTGGGGAGGCTTACGTTCAGCAGTAGACTTGTGAAAGGCTGTAATGATGATAATGATGATGTGTGTGTATTAAACCTATAACTGTAACCTGTTATCATTCGGGCTTCATCACTGTTCAATCCTGTACACCACTGTGTAAAGGCATTTTTGACTCAAACACAGAAAATGAATTTTGTTCCCAGTGATAGCGGATACTGAAAAATCAGCAAGGCAAATGTAGTGTTGTGCTAAATGGTGATTAGTAAAGGGAAAATAATAAACCAAAAGCCTATTCAAGTATATTTATTTTGAGTTATGTCGTGCGTACGCGAGTGCGTGTGCGTGTGCGTGTGTTTACGTTTATGTGCGTGTATTATGTTACAACATTAAGGAGGGGGCGTCTCCACTTATGACGTCGCCTCTTACGACACCCACAGGACGATAAAGCTTAGTGGATTCTCTTTGGCCGCCACTAAGTCACTATGGTACAGTATATTTTTTACATGGTAGGGCCATGCTGCAGCTGTATTTCGGGTATAGTTGTACCACGAATGTGTCGGCTCGACCGGGGAAGGACCACGCTCTCACAGAATGCTAGCGTAAAATAGCAGCTTTATGCTGCTGTGTTTCGTATGGTGAGTGTAGAGAACCGTAGCCCATTTTACTTGCAAATGAGGCATTCCTTCGTCTATTTAGTCCTCCAGGGTGACAACGCATCTGCATTTTGATTCGCAAACGAGTCTATGGATCACAGCAACCACTTACCATCAGGTGGACTGTGTGCTCGTTTGTCACCCTATCCTAATAAAAAAATAGACTCTACCTGATTAAGAGATTTTTCAATGCAAAAAAGAAGCATTTGAATGACATTTTGACAACATTTTATTTTAACTCAGATGGAGGAAGCAGAAGCGTTTGTGCTACTGAGGCACCTGATGTTCCGGCGTGGTCTGAGGAAGCAGTACCTGCCCGACATGAGCGCTCTACAGGTTCAGGTTAGTTGTGATTGAAAATCAGTAGTGTATAAACTGATTACGTTGTTTCATAGTAAGTTGTAAGTAGTACTGTGATCAGATGTGTCTTTTTTTTCTTATTTAATATATTTCTTCTTCATCAGTAAATCATCAGATTTATGTAGTAGAATTATACGTATAGTATGTATGCATTATATATACGATGATAGCAGTGCCGGATTAACCAAGCGCGGGGCCCGTAGCAGATTCTATCGAGGGTCCCTTGTTCTGCTATGCTGCTATTCTTAAATATAAAGTGGTAAAAAATAATTCGTTTTATTTGTCATCTCTAGGTTACAATTTTGTTGGTGTTTCATAGTACAGTAGATTACTTTGAAATATTACCTGTTAGCCGCTGACAAATACAAAATGTCAGAAATGAGATTGTAATGGTGGCAATGATGGCAATTTAAAAGTGACTTTTAATAGTTCCGTACCCAAAGGGTAACCAACGGAACCCTATTACTAAGCCTCCGCTATCCGTCCGTCTTTCTGTCAGCAGGCTGTATCTCATGATCCGTAATAGGTAGATAGTTAAAATTTTCACAGAATGTGTATTTCATGCATTCGATGCATTGCTTGCTTGATGTTATTAATTTGATTATCTCCTCGCATATTGTTTTTGATAAAAATAACGTATGTTCTTTTCCTTTATGGATATAAATTTGTCGTATCAGTTCGGAAGAACTGCTGGTGACAGTAAATTCTACAGTTTGGTCGTGGGAACAGGAAATTCCGCGTAAATCGCACAGTAGTGGACCGACGATCATCGAGATGATGAGGATGGAATTTTGAGTTCTGTTGCAGTGAACGATGATGAAATTCAGCAACTGGAATTAATCCGAATAATTCCTCAGAGCAATCCCCGTGGTATACGCGGTAGAAGATGCATAGAGATGCAACATCTCTTCGCAAGGTCATTTGATCAAGCCGATCGGAAATAACTTGATCATCGACAATTAGAGCTTCTCTCCGTTAAATATGGTCTAGTGAAAGGAGCTGATACTGGGGTGTCTCGGCCCAGAGACGAGAACAGTATTCCATATAAGGCCAAACCTGCTTTTGGTAAAGATGCACGCGGTGGTCCGGCATGAAATACCGTATTGATCTACTGAACACAATAAGCTTTTTTGATGTCAGTTTAGCCTTCCCCTCCAAGTGAATGCGGAATTGTAGGAAATATGGACGCCAAGGATTCCGATGCTCGCTGAAGTAACGAGGAGAGTGCCCTGAAATTGAGGAGATACGACAAAGGGGTTCTTTACTGCGGTAAACGCGCAAACCTGTGGGGTAAAACTGGATTAAACTGGAATTGATCCAGCACTCGACGACAGATTCACGGGAAATATTAGCACCGCCGTGGTGTATAAAGCATCGCCAGTGCTGTCGTCTGCATAACAAATAAATGTTACTAGTATGCAACATATCATTGATATGCAGAAGGAACAGGATAGGCAATAGTACGCAGCCTTGGGGAACCCCAGCATTCACATGTTTGTAGTCGGAGCATGTTCCATTGACTACCTTTATAGTCCGATCTGTAAGAAAACTAGTGACCCAATTGCATAATTTCTTGGGAAGACCATAAGAGGGAAGCTTCGTAAGAAGCGCTTTGTGCCAAACCCCATTAAAACCTTTGCTATGTCCAAACTAACCACCTGGGCCTCCCCTTGATCTCGACTGCTTCCGCCCATCGGTAAGTCAGGCAGACAAGAAGACCACCAGCTGAATGACCTCGACGGAAACCGTATTGACGATGCACGGTGCACAAATGCTGTCTTCTATGAGCCTGGAATGACGCCTAAAGAGTAAGAGAACCGGAAAAGATGTGTAAAAATCAGTGCTAACTCTTGAGCACACGTCCTCAGCACAATTTGGGGGATTCCATCAGGCCCACTCGACATGTTGACATCCAGGAACAGTATTCAGTATCCATTCGTCGTGGTGGGCGTTGAAACTTGTGCGTTTATCGTATGAAATTTTGTGTTTTATTTTCGCCAATGAAATAATCGGCTATTGATTGTCTGCCATACGTTGTCTTAGTCGAGAAAGGTGAAACGTTTCACGTTCTTGTGACATGAAGTAAATTCAATATACCACGTCTTATTAAGTTTCACTGAAAAAATTACGCTTAGGCAGTGATGAGCAGGTTTGGATAGGCGGGGCCCCCTTTTGCGCGGGGCCCGTAGCAATTGCTACTCTCGCTACGTGGTTAATCCGGCACTGAATGATAGATGTATGTGTAGATGTATAATATAGTATTTATAGTAATATAGTATTTCATGGTTGGAAATGGGTTTTAAATCAAAGTGAATCTATAAAATTAAACGTTTAAAATAAATGTCCATTGTTTTTCCTCATCGTTATAAACGATGTAAGCAAAATTCTCAATTCCAAATTTAAAAACGTATGCAGATGATTTAAAAATTTATCGAACTATAAAAATTGTTAAACTATGTTATCGCCTTTAAGCAAGATTTCGATAAAATTGGTATATGGTGTAAGGATAATCTAATTAATATAACCTATTAAATACACAAAAATGTTACTATACATAATTTTGTAGCAAGGGAAGTGTTACACAACTGAATATTTTAAAAGTGTCTGTTTGTAATGTCGAAATAACAGCTTTTTACTATATACATATGAAAGTATAATATATACGGTACTTATAACACAAACACTATTATTTGTATAGATTAGAATATAATTTTTGAAATATTTGTTTTATAATATCTGTAAGCATGTTGTATTTGTGTTCAGTTTTGTAGACCAAATACATAGAAAAAAAAAGTTAATCTATTAAGTAAAGTAAAAGTAAATCTTTAAAGTAATTAGGTTACAAGTAAAAGCACATCCCGCTTAAACCAGAAGTAGGATGTATATAGGGTTTAAATACGTTACATGTAACGTATTTAAACCCTATATACATCCTACTTCTGGGCACAGGGCTCCTCTCATTTCTGAGAGGGTTTCCTAACGTATGTTTATTTGTACAGTTGTACCAACTGTCCCGGCTGCTTCGCGACCATGAACCGGAGCTCCATGCCAAGCTGGAGATGCTGGACATCTCGCCCGCACTGTACGCGGCGCCCTGGATGCTCACACTCTTCACCAGCCAGTTCCCTCTGGGTTTCGTCGTCAGGGTTTTTGGTAGTTTCTTCTTTGTGATAAATATACGCAGTAGTTTGAGGTTTGTGACAACACCCAGCAGTTGCTTCCCTTGAACTTCAAAAGATTGCGATGCTGCAGCTATATTAATAGTATAGTTGTAGCACGAATGGGGCGGCTTGACCGGGGAAGGACCACGCTCTCACAGAATACCAGCGTAAAATACTACCTTAATGCTGCTGTGTTTCGTATAGCGAGTGTAGAGAACCGGAGACCTATTTTACTGGAAAAGAGGCAGTCTATCTGAGTTCTCACGGGTGACAACGCATCTGCGCCACAGCAACCACTTACCATCAGGTGGACTGTGTGCTCGTTTGTCACCCTTATTCTATAAAAATAGCAGTTTTGCAAGGGTTTGAAATCAGATCATCAGATCTATGTGCTAGTTTATCACTCATCGTCATCGTCACCACCACCACCACCACCACCACCACCAGAATTATCATCATCATCATAACCAATATCACCATCATTAACACATCATCATCATTATCATCATAGCCTGTTAAAGTAAACTGCTGAACATAGGCCTCTGTCTTAGATTGCTTCATATATTTATTATACTTGCAACACTTGGCAGGCGGGTTATCAACCGCAGTTTCTTTTTATTATTTTGTGTTTTTATCACGAAAATGTGCTGCTGCATATTACCTAATTCAACTCCCTCTGTAGCCTTTACGACATACACGGAATGACAAGGAGTAATGAATTCTTTTTTTTTCCTACTACACGCCGGATTTTGTATAACAAAGAAATATATTCTTTTAATTCTTGATTTCAGATCTCATCTTCTTGGAATCTTTAGACGTAATGTTCACTGTATCGCTGGCGTTACTCTCAGCGCACAAAGACGGCTTGATGATGTGTGAGAGCTGCGAGGAAGCTGCCGAGTATCTCAAGCACAAGCTGCCCGACATGGACAAGGTGATCTACCAGAAGGTCATGAAGAAGGTACGCTGGTGAATTGAAATCTATTCGTTTTTCGACATTAAATTGCAACCGCCAAATTTCACCATCGCACATCGCGACAAAATTTACGATACCATCCACATACTCGTAGGCTGAATATTTGGCGTTAGACCACTGGGCGATTCCGACTGGCGACCAGGGATTTGCTTCCTCGCACAACATCTTTGTGGAATCAGTTACGATGTTTCCGAACCGTTATAACCTGAGTTTTTAAAAATGAGGTTTTAAAAATGAAGGTTTTAAAAATGAGTAGACTCTTTTGAGTCTACTCATTTATAAAAGACCGGCAACGCACCTGCAATGGAATTCTCGAGAATGCACGGAGATGCGCGACTTCTTTTTTGGCTTATATCTAGTTTGCACGTTACACAATTAACATAAAATTGTTTTTACTATGTACGATTTCGTTACAAATATTCGCTTCCATTCCATTCTGCCGCAATGTAAATTGAGCGCATGAGCGAAGTGATTTGCTTTAGCACGGTCGGCAAAAGGTAGCACAGACCCTTAAGTTAAATATTTCTATACAGCGTTGAAACATGTAAAATTTTTTTGAGAGGAATTTGAAACATCATTTTTCAAAGGGCGGGGGGCACTAAATATTCTTGGAAGAAAGCCCCCAACTCCGCTCCTTCCTAGCTACGCTTATGACGTATAAACTGTACTATCTCCTACGTAGTTGATAGCTTTCGAGGTTATTGCGGTATTCCAAAGTTAGTCGCGGTCGAAATCAGCAGCGTTGCCAACATCATTAATATAATGTAAACGTGGTCCCAGGTACAAAGCCTGGACATCACACGGCAGCTAAGCGAGTACGCCGTAGAGTACGCGGTGCTTCGCGAGGAGATGCCACGTCTGGCCGCACTGGCCGACTCCAACCGCCAGCTGACCGCCGACAAACAGCGAATGGCGCTGGAGTTAGATGTAAGTAGTTTGCAGCAATCCACACCAGTAGGTCCTACTTCACAATACAAAAAAAAATGTGCGCAGTTCACACACCGTAGAAGTGAAACCTTCAGAAAATTGCAAGTAAAATTGTTTTGTAATAGTACTGTTGCGCGCCACAATTAATGCCACTGGTGCCCTCTAGTATCGAGTAGCAGAACTAAGAGAGTCAATATCCTTCTAGAAATTTCCATGGAAGAACTTTCTGGAACTATCGACACTTAGTCAATCGGGACCGATATGTACTCGAACATTCTAGATGTTTCTATGGTAGTAGGTTTTGGAAACTATCTGAGGCCCTATATAAGGCCGCGACCAAGGCAGTATTGAATTGGCGATATAAGCGAATACTTCGAAGCGATACAACTGCGAACTAAAGTGATCAGTAGTACAATTGCGTTTTATGTGTGGTTTTAAGTTGTAATTAGTGTTCTGTAATTAAAGTGTCAATTTTGGTAATTCAGTCGGCAGTTTTTAATTGTCTCGAACCCCAAGCTCGTAACAGTACCATACGTATGAAACATTATTATTATTAGCTATTTTATCGAACAAAAAGTTATTTATTTTTAAGAAGGTACTTTACGTACTTTATAGACACTAGATAACCTAAACAGGCCTAAATCTATAGATGTATATGTTTGTATGTATGTTTTTAGTGTCCCTTTTTCGTTTCATCGAGTTTGAATCACAACGACTCTAAAGAAGTTTTGGTGCAAGTTCGGTTACGCTGCAGTCTATTATGACTGAACGGTCGGCCGGACCGGGGAATCACAATATCAGCGTCAAATAGCAGGATTATGCTACTGTGTTTCGAATGGTGAGTGTAGATATCCAAAGACCATTTTTACTAGTCATTGCATCTTAGTCCTCAGAGGTGACAACACATCTACATTTTAATTCAAAATCGGGGCTAAATCTAGGCATATATCTACTTACTATTGGGGAAACTATTGGCTTGTTTGTCACTTTTGGCTCTAACCACGTATAAAATTAGTCGTATATCTACATAAGATAACAACATTTTTAATTTATCATTCTAGTCTGCAATGGACGCGATATCAAATTACCAGAAGACACAAGCACGTCTCGGTGCCCAGAACAAAGCCATGGAGCAACAACTAACACTGCTCAGCCGCTACATAGCGAACCATAGACAAGACGTGCCCGTAGAAGTGAAAAGAATCATCCAGATGTACAATAGGAAAACGTCATTCAGCTCGAAAATCTTCTCCTCCAAGTTCACGGCGAACGAAGAGGAAGAAGACCCGAAGAAGAACTTCAAAACGGGCGTCAGCGCCCCGAATCTATTTTCCAAAATATCCAAAGAGGACGTGATGAACGCGGTGAACAATGAGAGGAACAAATCCTCGCCAGAAACAGACAGGAAGCACTTCCTCATGAAGAAGTCTCAGTCTATCCACTCCGGACTCATGGCGAACAAACACTATCCCATGAAAGTTCTAGAAGAAAAATCGGAAAACCAATCTCAATTCCGGACGGAAATTATCTCTGAATCTCTTAAGGAGTTAGGGAGGAGAAATTCAGGATATTTCGCCAACACCCACGAACAGATCCGCCAAGAGAGACTCTTTGAGCAGCAGTTGAAGCACGACTTCGACGAGAATCTAAAGAAACTGGACCAAAAATTGACACCGGATTCATATTTGGACGACTTAAGCATATTTCAGAGCAAGAAGAGCATGTCACTGAATTTGAAACCTAACACAAAGGCGCACGAATCAAAATTGATCGACAGCGGATTCGTGACACCTTTGAGCCCGAACGATAGCGACAAAAGAGACGACAATGTGTCGGTCATATCTCATCCGCTGAGCGACTGCGATGTCGACATCAAATTCGACGGGCAATCGACTAAGCTGAAGCAAATTCGACCGTTAAAACCTCACAATGTCGACGCGGCTCATATATAATAATAAAAATCTATATGACTTAAAAAGTAAATTTTTTGAACTGCCATAAAGCGCTGTGTTCCAAGCGGTCGGTTCCAAAAATACCACTAGGGGAAACGACGAAATATCAGTTTTATTTCGTGATTTTGGTACAAGAACTGAACCGTAACCAAAATGTGAACCTTTATTCACCTTTATTTTAACGGTATAGATGTTATATCTCACGATGGTGGGTTCGTATTACTTGTGAGTGGGGCATATGCTTGCATTAATACATAGTCTTAGTGTGCGTAAACTCGACAGTCAAAAATTATTATCAAGTACCGTCGGAACGGAATGTAATCTGAGAAAAGTTGTTCGCAACGATGTAAAAAAATTTAATTAACGCTTTGTGTTAGTTTGCAACATGTACATATGTGTTTCTAATTACGTATTGCTTATTTAAGAGCTGTCAAATGATCGCTAAGTTGTATCACTTTCACAGGTTTTTAAGATTTTAACAAGATTTATCAATATTCAAAATGGAGTTTAAGGCCAAGTTGAACAAAATATTTTATTTTAGCCACGATTTTGGTGCACGAAAATTCTTCCTTCTTGAAATAGTATATACTCGGAAAAATATGCGCATACATTAAATACTCAATTAAATTAATAATCGAATGGATTTTAAAAATATTTTATACTGGGTGGCGAATAGGTTATCACGTTAAATAGCACAGCAGTTAATACAAGTTGATATATGTCTGTTAAAATAATAAAATAAACAATAATAAAAGAAAATAAAAAATTCATTTTTCAAACAAAATAAATAGCGTAAAAAATTGACAAGAAATAAATCAGCCTTGATAATATATAGGTTACTGACCTGAAGTGACTTACAAAACTGAATTATTTTTCTGGCGCATGCGACATGCGCCAGAAAAATAATAATTTCGACACCCGGTCCCATTTCTTGTCACTTCGCGCATAGAGAATTATGCCTTAACTTCATTATTTTAAGTAAATTTTTCGCTTGAATTGGTTTTCACACACCCGCAACGCGCGGTCCCTTTGTTTTTAATTTCGCGCATAAAATTATGCCTTAAATTGTTATCCGTAAGTACAGTTTTTGTTTGATTTTTTCTTCATTCGAGTAGTTATGTATTTTTTTAGTTGTGTATGCTTAAAGAAATTTATGTAGCATACGTCTTTTCATTTTATGTGATAACTTTTTCGTCACTCGGTATAAATCGAGATAAAAAAAATCCGGGGAAAAAACTTTGACATTCGAGTTTTATTTTTTCTTAAGACTGTGAAGCCGGTTGACAGAGGGGTTGGCAACTGCAGTCTTTTATTTTATCATTTTATTAAGTAGAAGCTGCTGTCCATCTCTCGGTTTGTTTCCCTCTGTTGCTCCTTACGATACCACCCACTGGACGATATAAGGTTGTGGATATTCTTACACCGCCGCTACACGGTTATGTATTTAGATAACTTATATTGTTCAACTAGCGATCCGCCGCTGCTTCGCACGTGTGATTTCTGGATCTCGACAATAGCGCCACCTACCTAAACTATCTAGGGACTCATTCAAACACACAAGAAAAATCATCAATTGATTGTGTAATTGATTTTTATATATAAAGATTACGATAGGCTACTACTAGTTACGCACACATACAAGCATGCGTGTCTACACGTCACAACTACAAGTAAGGCTCGCCCGACTTCGTGAGATGATAATATTTATACAGAACCGAATCAATTCGAACTTGTTTGATAGTGACTGCCACAAAATTATTTTGTGTAACAATTACATCATGCGTTATACATTTCTTTAGTTACAATCGAAGTATATTATAAAAATAAAGCGAAACCACCACACATTGAAGAATTTCCCTCTTATTTGACCTTAAAACCTTTGGTATTTTGGAACCGCTATCTTAAAACCAATACCGTAGCGAGTACCGAAAAGAGTAAACTTTATAATAACCTAAATGAAACTGTAATGAAACCTTAACCCTGGTCCCGAGGGATGAGTTAGCCTGCGTATTACAGTCCAAATTTTCGCCATCTCTAGAATTGCAGTGTTCATAGATATAGAAAAAATTAATTCCCCATCACGTGGACCGTCGTTCTAAATAATAATTCAGAAGAAATATATATAATTTATATGCTTAAGTAAATGTTGTCATTTGATATTCATTAGGTAAGTTAGTAGAAATGTTAGTATAATCAAATCCTAAATAAATTTTAAGGTGTTAGGATATTTATATTTACTATAACTTCAAAAAATATATGTGTTTTGTTTATATGTAATGTGTTCCGGTGTGAGGGTTATAAAAGAGTCATATATTTACAGGCTGTAAGGCATCCTATATAGTCCTCGAGGTGACAACGAAGCTTTCTTTGTTCCAAGTTGACTGCAGTATCTAGTTACAGTTTAATTGATTAATAGCTCGTCGGTCACTAAACTACACATATAATAAATTAGGTTATTTTTATCATCATCCTGTGGAAGTCCACTACGGGACACAAGCCTCTCCCAACGCACGACACTTAGCTCGATGTTCGGTTTATCGTATGTCTGTGTGCACTGAATATAACTTTAATATATAGTAGTCCTTTTATAATAGAACAATAAATGCTTTGTTTGTCAAAATCGACCAAGTAATGAAGGAACGAATATGACAGTTGAAGAACAAAACGATAAAATAAATTGCGTATATGTCTTTCATACTTGTTTTATATTATTTACTAGCTTAACCTTACCGCCACGGCTTCGCATGCGTGATTTCTGGATTTCGATAACAGCACCACCTACCAAATGTGTATCTAAACCATCCATTCAACACACAAAAAATTTCATCCAAATCGGTCGAGCCGTTTTTGAGTTTTAACGGGACTATAACGAACAGCAATTGATTTTTATATATGTAGAGAACATCAAAACCATTTATTACTGTTATCGCAAAAACGTTGCTTAGGTGCCGGTGTTTGCACTAATAGTACATATTACCTACGATTATTTCTATTATAAAAGCTTTTAGAAAAATTTACTTTAAATAAAATGATGTCTTACCTAGTATGAAGAGCACCTCCCGCCCTCCCTCAATTGCGTGCACTATCCCCGTCACCACTACTCCCAACGCCACTACACTAGGCAAAACACACCACTGATGATAATACGATGATCTACGGTGGCTAACCGCTAAGTCACCGGTACTTAGCGGTTAGCCACCGTAGAGTCTATATCACCTGAGGATGCCTCGTGTAGAGGCGAAATACGTGTCGTATTATCATCAGTGGTGTGTCTTGCCTAGTGTAGTGGCGTTGGGAGTAGTGGTGACGGGAATAGTGCACGCAATTGAGGGAGGGCGGGAGGTGCTCTTCATACTAGGTAAGACATTATTTTATTTTATAACGCGGATATTTGCGAAGTAAATTTTTCTAAAAGCTTTTATATAATGGATTTCCGCAAAGTAACGCCTGATTCTATTAATTATTCTATCTATTATCTACTACCTACTATCTCTGGCTTCATAAACTGATGAAGTCGTAGTCTAAACCGCAATTATTATCCTCATCCTTGTTGCAAATACTTAGGATTTTTTTTTTCTTTGGAACTAGATTTCTACGCTTGAACTTTTGCCATTGTATAGCAATAGGAAATTATCTTTGTTCAAAGAGCCAGATTAAATGATTGCATCACATTGCGGAGTTTATGGGAGATTTCGAAGTCGGCTTAACCAAAGATAGTCGATGACGACAGTACTTATCGCAAATTTACTTGACAAAACAAGTCAACAACAAAATAACTTGAGTTTTATATTAATTGTTTCGAGTTTTTCACTAATAGTTCTCATGCAACACACGAAAACGCACACCTCTTATGTATTCCAATATTTTTTTCTTAAATGAATAAACGGAAACAATATACATAATACGCCGGCGCGCGGCGGTCAAATTCCCGCCAAAACCCATAAATCACATTGAGTTATATGTACTACGTACTAGAGAAGCCATTCCGAACATTGACTATGTTCAACTGAACTGTAGTGCAATCCGTACAAACTAAATATTGCGTAAACTGAAGATTTGTGAATTCCATAAAATAATAATTATTACATTTTATTCAGATGTTTGTTTAGATTAAATTAAGATATTTTATATTAAATTCTTATATTTATTATATATCAAATTAAAGTCTTCGCGCATGCGCGACTACTACTCCCGCGCATGCGCGAAGACATAGAGTAGGACACAATTTTTGTTTGGAATGGCTTCTCTAGTACGTAGTACATATAACTCAATGATAAATCATTAATTTTAAAATTACAAAAATATTGCCTCAGGTAAATATACAAACAATATTTGGTATACATTTTAATATTTATAATAGTTTTAACTATATTCTTCATGATATTTGAAATTAAAACAACTATTGGATTTTGGCGGGAAATTGACCGAAAAACGGATTGTTGCGCTCCTATATTATCGTTAACATAATGGTTTTCACATGAACACAATTAATGTAAATAATAACAAAATTGCCTCGATCGTGATAAAACCATAAACAATTTTATCCCTTTTGTCGCCTTGATATACGAGTATAGTCGATATCGACACACTTTGCCGAGTTAACCTGTCGTCGAAGTCTCTAGCCAAAGCAACGAGCCATTCTATCTTAATCGAGGATAAATGTACGTGTCTATGAGCCGCAGCATCCACTTACCATCACTTGCACTGTGTGCTCCTTTTTTAACCTTATTCTTTAAAAAAAGGAATCTTCGTAATGTGACGCATCAACATATTGTGTAGATGTGTCTACTTTTTGCTCGAAGGCTTTGTAGCCCCAACCACAATATAAAAATAAGACATAAAAACATTTTTTTGAGTTTCGAGACCACGAGATGTTATGTCGGTTATTTGCCAACAGTTGATGTTACAGAATTCAAGTTAATTTAAGTAACATAACGTGTGATTTTAATATCGTACTTATTTAGAATAATACCAAAGAATCATATAACAAATATATTAAT